GCAAAATATATCACTATAAAAAGTTATTTCTACTGTCTTATTTTATTGAGTATAGAAATTATTTGCATGCTTCTGCAAATGATGACATATATTCTTCATTATACGCAGTCTCACCTATACATATAAAACATAGATAAATATACAAGGGGAAAAATGTAAATGCATATAAGACATGTCATGTCCCAATTCTTCGATCTATTTTCACCGACTTTAGGTAACGTGTTTGCTAGTCTTTTAATTTATACCAACATGCTTTAATTCGTTAAGCATTTAACTGCGTAATGATTAATTTATAAATATTTCGAATGAAAATTGAAAAGAAAAAAAGACAATAATTACCATTCTGTAACATTGATATTATACGCATGTAAAAATATTTTAAGGGACCTAAATGATCGCGCGATACTAAATTTTAGCTGTGGATACTATAACTTATTGTAACATTAAAAGCTGTTGTGTTTGTATAATCGTTAAACAGATCATTTTTTAAAGTATTTTTCCATGCTAAGTTATGATGAAACAAAAGAGAAATAACAATGGAAAAAACTAATATCCAGCTTGATTACAATAGAGATACCTGCTATGTTTTGGTTTAAACAATATTTATTTCATCTTCAATAAATGTATGTAAATTGCATTCATGTTTCAGTAGAAAGCTTAACGCTTATATAAAACTCTCTCTTGGCTATGTACTGTTTTTCTAATAGTAAATAACATTCGAAGTATTTAAAACAGTGTACACGTTAGCAAATTCAATACTTGATGTTATTTTCATAACAGAGACTGAAGCCCCCCAGATATCCTGGCCTGAATTTTTTTCCTACCAAAAAAGGTACATTGACAGTAAAATATTAGCAACAAACTGACCCATAACTTCAATTAGACGTCTTTTCACACCCTTCCCCAACTAAAGCCTCAAATAGTGAAAAAAAATGCCCTATTTAGACCCCAAACACTTGTTTTCGTTCGAGAAATGGAGATAAAAAAGTGATCACTTTTTCGGCGCTGTCCCCTATCAAATAGATACATCCAAGGGGTGCCAGAGTGGGGATATGCCCCTTCCTGCTTGGGGGTTTGAAGGGGGGTCTGCCGACCCCCTAATCACCAAGAAAGGTTTAAACTTGTGAGAGGTTAAAAATGGCCTCAGGTCGACCTTAAGGTAACGTGTAACCAACGTTGAAAAGTCTTTCACTCTATCTCAATCCGTTGAGAAGTTGCAGCACTTTGAAATCAGTTTTGATGGAAAATTCAACGCAAAATAGTGATTTTTGGCAATTTTGAGATGTCCCCTCGTTGCCATGGTAACAGGAAAGTTCAGAGTGAGTATGCCGTTACAAAGGCTATGGTCCAGTCAACATGTTTGCTAAGTTTGAATATTTATAGTTTCATAGCAATTTTAACTTGTAACAGGAGGCTTTTCAATGAAAACAGCCATTTTTCACCAAACGCTCATGAAGTAAAAGATTAATATAATTGTAATTCACTAAGTCTGTTGTTTATTGGAACGAACCTGGACCCAAGCTGAGCTTCCTGTCATAAAATTCTTTCAGTCAAATTTAGGCAATTTGTTAACATAATGGCTTAGACTATACTTTCAGGTGAGTGAAGAGGCATATTAAGCGTCAGTAAATTACTCAGATCTTTAAAATTCATTTCCAATCCTGTAATGCGAAATTATTTTTGGGTATTTATTTGCAATTTAAACAAAAGAAAACATAAATGTTCACATGAAACCTTAAACATGTCTTGGGATCATAACTGGAGGTCTCTATCCAAACCCCATAAAACTCTAGCATAGAATTCACTGCTCTACGTAAATGTAGAGATTTCTTGGTGCAACATGACTGATGCAGCATTTATGCAATTCCATTCTCATGTCCGTCGCATCCAGTGCATTTAGCACTTTGATTATTTTTGGACATGCCAAGTTGGCAGTATCTATAGAATAGAATAGTTTGTTTGTTTGTTTGATTTTACGCCTTTTCCCAACAGTATTTCAGTCATATAGGCGAGTAGTTTCCTAACCATCGTTCCTGGAGAGTTACACCTGTACTAGACTACCTTCCTCCGCGCTATACTACCAAAGCATCTCCCGGGGATCGAACCCACGTCAGAGAGGTAACTGGATTAGAAGTCATCGACTCTAACCCCTCGACCACAGAGGCGGTAATAGAATATAATATGTTAGAATAAAGTGGTTTTTTTCCAATCAATGGGTCACATTCATGACATATAAATCAACATCTACATAATGAGCAAATAAATATACCACATAAAATAAGTGTATTAAAGTAAATAAAGCTTGATTGTGCTTATTTTGAAAACAATTAACTAAAGGTATCAAACCCAATAATCCACATCTCCATTTATTCTGTAATTATATTTTATATGCTAAATTGTCTTTAATAACTTAAATTTTAAATTTCAGTCTTAGATTCCATAAATGGAGTTCATGATATGGGTTTTAAATAAGGAGAGAGCAACGTAGAGACCAGCAACCTGTGGTAAAGTTAAAAGTCCTTTAAAAGACAATGAATGGCTTTTAAGTTCTATTTCATATGAGACAGTGCTGACTGCTGACGATGCAGTTATGTTATAAAGTTAATGTTCTCACACTAGCACAGTCTTATAATAACAATTTGTTATGGACAGGGTTGTAAACCTGCTGGTTCCTACATTGTTCGTCTACTTAAACAAAACCATAATTATATAACAAGTAAATTTAAATGCAGATGCACACATCCTTCACACTGTATAGCATAATGGCCTAAGGACAAACAACCGTATAATTTAAAAAACAAACATTTCATAAGTATTTAAGTTGACATCAGCTGTCATCTATGCTATAACACAATATTCATTGATAAAGAAATATGATAAAATATACTATCTGATACATTAAAACATTCTAATATGATAAAATGACATTAATTCTGAGTCTGACACTTTTTAATACACTACTTCTAAGCTGATAGCATTCATATACAAATGTAGCTAAATGCAAAAGTACATCCTTATTTTCATTACTAATGAGCCAAATAAATTTGTTCTTTTCTGAAGGTTTTTCAAAATTATCATTTAAACACATAATTGAATCATGAAAAGCTTACCGCCTCTGAGGTCGAGGGGTTAGAGTCGATGACTTCTAATCCAGTTACCTCTCTGGCGTGGGTTCCATCCCCGGGAGATGCTTTGGTAGTTTAGCGCGGAGGAAGGTAGTCTAGTACTGGTGTAACTCTCCAGGAACGATGGTTAGGAAACTACCCGCCTACATGACTGAAATACTGTTGGGAAAAGGCGTAAAATGAAACAAACAAACAAACAAAACATGAAAATCTTGTCTTTTGTTTTCATATTTCCTATTACAAGATGTCACAAAATGAATTCCTGCTGCCGAAAATACTTGTAAGATCCCCAGGAATTTATAGGAGGTTACATGTTTAATTTTATTGTTTTTGTATGTGAACTTAGTGCTAGACAGCTTGCCTTTTTTTTACAAAATGTTATATAAGTTTTCTTAAGATTGACACACGGTCCATAGGAATCACTATACTGTGAGAGTTTATCTACTCAATTTTGAAGTCCTCTTTCACTAATGGACAATAACACAAGATCAACAGCATATAAGAGACAGCTTAAGTATGTATTACCAAGTAACACTTCCAAGGTCATCTTTTTTCATCAAAACGCTGTGGCAGGTCATTTAAAAAATGTTTAAACAAATTTAGACTTAGATTGTCACCCTGTCTCACACCGTCTTGAGGTTTAAACTCTTCTGTTAGGGAATAATTTAATCGGACACGCATACAATTGTTACTGTACATATCTTTTACGACTTTAATTATAAAAGGGTCAAGATATTCCTACATCACACAGTTTGTAAAATGGTATAGAATGCATTACAGTATCAAACGCTTTCAAAAGGTCAACAAAACATGCAAAAAGTTTAGACCCATTACCTACATACTTCTCAATCAATGTCCTCATTACAAACATATGGTCGGATGTTCTGGTTTTCGGTTGAAAACCTATATATTTGTGGTTTGTGAATAATATTGTATTTATCAAAATATTTTTTAACCTTTCATTTAAAATATTGTTAAAAACTTTCGACAAACATGGCATACTACAGATACCACTGTAGTTAGCGGGGTCATTTGGATCATTTCCTTTGTATAGGGGTTTGATATAACCTACTTTCCACTGAGAAGGGTAGGAATTGTATTATATAACTTAATTAACCCGGGTATTTATAGAGTTGTTTGTCCGCATTTAACCATTTTATTAGTTATAACATCTAGGCCAGAGTATTTTTTTTATATTTTAATAGCTGTGCGTATTTCCTTTTCAGTGGTTTTAAAATCCAGATCAGTAAATGACTTAACACTCTCTTTTTCATGCAGACATTGTTCAAAAAACAAATTAAAGATACTTTTAAATTCCTCTTTTTTGCTAAAAAAATGTTAAAAAATGCTTAACCCATCTATCTGAAGTTATTTTTTGGGATTGGTCCTCACTTTAGATGCAATTAATATTCTTTTATTTCTTTAACTAGTGTCCAATATTCATTGGGGTTGTTTTCATATAAACTTCAACTTCAACGGGGTTTCACGACAACATCCACCAGGTAGACATCGAGTCCAATCTTTGCATAATATTTTGCTTAAACTGGTGGGTTTTTTTTTAGCTTGCAACATTTACGGTACGTTTTTCTAAACTCGTATTGTTGGGTCTGTGGATTTTTTGAATATGCTAAACTTTTCTGTAACAATACGGCTGAGTTCACCCTTTACCTTAAAGACATATGCTTAATTATAGATGGATAGAAATTTATCCCTGCTTTCAATCATTTTAAAAGATTGTTAAATTGCAGTTTTTTGTTAAAGGAGCACAACTTTTATCTTTAACAGAGGGTTTCGCGATGTGGTGGGATGAATATTTGGTGGCATACAACCATTGTGAATTAAATTTCATGTTAAACTATTTGAATAAGCACCTGCAGTAACTGCATAGCAACTTATCACGTGACTATGCGAATTTCCATAAATTAATCGACTTTGCACATTTTTGAACAATGTTAAACATGTTATGGAGTATATTTATAATCAGAATTTAAAATAGTTGCATACACTTAATGTTTTTTAATGAAATTTTCAGTTCAGCATAAAAAATATTGACAATTTGACTATTTTTATCGGAAAGGGATATTTTAGCAGGAAACATGGCGGATGCGGTTGGTCACAGACTCACTTAAGCATAAAGTTGCAGTGTTATAAATCTTCGACTTTCATATTTGCATCGTTGTAAGTTTCGTATTGAGATATGAATTCGTGTGTTTCCATGTTAGGTAATGTCTTCTCGAAGAACAAATGCGGATAACAATAATAATTATTGCGGAATTTTTTTCGTACTCAAAAATTTTCAAACCATAAAATTGGATTTGCTGATCAGTTGAAATAGATATTTGTTATGGAAAAAAGTTCAGTGTTTACCTTACAAAATTCTTCAATGAATGCCTATCATGTTTTCAATGTTAATATGAAATTAGGCAAAGCCTATGAACAGAGAAGTTGTTTTAAAAAAAAAAGTTAATTTTTCTGTTTTAAAGGTGTTAATTTTTCTGTTTTAAAGGTGTCATTTCGTATTATATACACCGCTTCCCTTTTCACTCGGAATACTCAACTATTATTATTTATCCTTAAAGTTGCGATTGTCAGTTATTGGAAAAACCCACCTATTATCATTGAATTGCATTGAAAATGGCGCCGCCCGACTAGAACTGACACTGAAAAAATTTCATTGATAGGTATAGAATTCCTGTATGTATTCTTTAATTGTTTTTATTTGATTTTCTTTTAAATATACACATGTAGTCTAAAGCCGGGCAAGCCAAAGCCTGGCCCGCCTCACAGATCTGGCCTTTGACTTCCCTGTATTAAGAAAATCTTAGTAAGAAGTCCTACACTACTATGATGTTTAATTTAAAGTTTTAGCAGGTGACAAAGCTATGTATTTCACTTAAATTTTAACTCCCAACTTCTGTCACCAACAAAACATCCACCAGCTTGCCATATGGGTCCAAAAGCTGGCATGTGAGTTGTTCCAGTTAGTGATGGAAATCGGATGAAATTTGTCCCAATCGATCATCGGTTCAGTCGGATGGGATATAATCGATAACTTTCGAATAAAGTCGCGTTAAAAGGAAATAGAGAAGTAACATTTCTTACCAAGGCACTTGATTATATTTAGTAACATGAACTTCATTTATCACTTTTCAACACAGTTTTAACCTTATATACAGTTGAGTTCACACTAAAGGTTACACAAAGTGCACTAGGAGTGCACTAGATGTGCACTACTAGTGCACTACAAAGTGCACTAGTAGTGCACTACTAGTGCACTTCATAAGTGCACTTTGTAGTGCACCAGACCTATTATATGTATTAAGCAGTTACCTTTTATTTCACTGAAAAGCAATTTGACTTTTACAAAAAGATAGAAAATATAGATATCTGTTTAATAGTTTTTCAATAAAAATTTGAAATTGTGATTATTGGATTTTGTAAAATATGGCGTAAAATATTAGAACAATAAATTTCAAAGTCATTAATTTTACTGATTTTGTACTTTAAAATTTAATTGTTAGAATAAGTAATTTAAATATAAATAATTATAACTTTAATGTTGATAAGTGCATAAATAAACAAACTTAATTGATATTTAATATGATTCTATTTTATTATAATCTGGTAATGAAATATGAAACATTGAAATGCTAATCAAACAAAATTAAGTCAGTTCTTTTTGGGGGGAGGGGGAATTATACCGTAGTATTAGTTATTTTTGATCTTAACTTATGGTTGTTTTAGTTAAAGGTAATGATTTTAAGCATTAATAGCCTTTAATACATTAAAGAATTAATATATTTATAATTGGCCTAAATTTTGTCAATTTTATTTCATTTATAATCTCTCTTACCTTCTCAAACTGAGATTTACCTTAGATTAATATAAATGATTTATATTATACTGAAAATAAATATTTATATATAATGGTGGTATGTATATATTGATATGTGTGGATTAAGTATTGATATGTACCTGTGGGATACTAGTATACTTAAACTGACATGGATATTAACAATAAGATTAGAAAATCTGTCAATTCTATTTTTTGAGACGACACCAATCTTTTTTCCTTTTTTTTCATGCATTGTAACATTATTATGCAATATGATTAATTTTATGAGTTTATTATAAATTGCAAAAATATTCATTTTTCTTTTTGTACTATTTGTAATGAAATTTATTTGCACCAACATCCAGAGAATACAAAATTTACATCGCCTAATCTGGCTTATATGTTATTTACCCTGAGGGGCTCTCTTATCAGCAGGGTACTAATATCAAAACACACCTATACACAGCATGACTTTTGACACTTTAATCTCCTGTAACTGTTTTCTGCTCATGTATGATATTAAATTAAAAAAAAAAAAAAAAAAAACAGAAAAAAAAACAGATCTGCATTAAAGTGAAAAGGAAGTTGCAAAAGTTTTTTAATCATGTATTTTAAATAATATTTTCTTTAAAAATATATTATCTTCTAAATGCGTAAAAACTGACAAGGCAAATTTGTCAATTCTATAATAGAAAAAAATAACAATTCCCAGTTCAAAAACTAAAAGATGCTGCAAATTTTAATGCAGAATTGCAAGAAATGTAAAAAAATATTGATACAAAGTCTTTGAGAATAGTTAACACTGATATTGGTTTTAAACCAGTTTTTTATAATAAGATTAGACAAGAGGGCCATGATGGCCCTGAGGTCGCTCACCTGTATATAGGCCCCCCCAACCCCCACCCCCCCCAAACGTTGCAGGGCCAATTTAACCAAAGGGCTTTTATTTGCACAAACTTGGTAGACACCCATAAGAAGATGTTTCATGCTAAACATCTAAGCTCTAGCTCATTGGGCTATTTAAAAGAAGATTTTTTTAAAGTTTTTTCTACACACACTATACTCATAATTTTACGAAATTGATTTTATTTTTCAATGGATGTCAAATAATACCATTCACATCACATTATATTACTATTGTTTACATCACTTATTGATCCTGTTCAACTCCAAATTGTCTCTGAGTGATTATTTGCGATCGGCGAGGTGTTCCTAAAGGACAATTACAGTCAGAATTAATTCCCTTTGATAATTTAAACATTTTTGACGACGTCGCAGAACAAACTTTTGTGAATCGATTATTGTCGTTTTACATAACAGTAAGTGATAATCGGCGACTTGCGACAATCGGAACATCACTAGTTCCAGTACAAAAAAAATTATACGATTATTTTCAGTAAGCTCATTCACCTAAATACAAAATAAAAATTATAATGCTTGTATAACAATTAACAAAACACATGCCCATGTTTAATAAGGCTGTTTTTAATTAATGTAAACTTACAATTTAACAGCATTTTTCTGTCAATCCTATATTTAATCATTTTTCTAAGTGGTATGCAAAATCTTAATCAGTTGAAACATAATTTCAGCAATTGAAATCAATTATAAATTGAAGATTAAATTTGAAAAAAATAATCATACCAAAGTTTCTAAATTAACATAAAGGAAAAGAAGGTCTAAAACAACAAATAAAATGCTATTCTGTGAAAGTAAAAATAATTTGTTAAATTGCTACTCTAATAAAACATTTTTTTTTTTTTCTAAAATATTGCTTTAGAAAACTCGAAATACTTGGTATCCTCCCTACCACAAAACTAAAATGTAGGAAGACACAAAATTACTTCAGTTTTATAATTAATATAACTTGCTGCATGTTGCTTTGACTTTTTAACTTCAGATAAAAAAGAAAAATGGTTAAGTTGACTATAGATTTGATTGCACGTGGAACATCGGGCTACACAAAAAAGAAAAGAGATGAGACAATGCACCAATATTTAAAGAGACTGACACATCTATATCTAGAAAACAAAGGAATAGATGAAGTTGTAAGACATATTTTATAATATAGACTCGTTCATAGCTCATGCATATTTCTTAACTTTTGTAATAACCCAGTTTTTTTTGTTTGTTTGTTTCATTTTGATGTTTTTTCATGGAAATATTCCTTTGAATTCCAGTTACCAAAATCATTCAAAAGTGACAGTTTCTGTGATGCTAGGATGGGGACTTAATATATATTTATAGAGAAATACCTTTGTAAACCATCTGGTTTCAATCTGTCCAAATTTTGAAATAATTTTAAGTAAAAATAATTCTTAGGTGACTTAAATGTCTTCCAAGATAGCTCCAATCATTTTGAATTAAGAAACAAAACAAAAACAAGCCCTTTAAGGGACAGAGTTGTTGTTTGCTGTATGTACATTATTTATATAGAGAACTTTGTAAATCTTCTTGTAAACTCTGGTTAGTATAAAGGGCAACTATATATGGCCTTCTTGATATGTTTATTGATAATTTCTTAAACTTATATTAAAGAAACTACCAGAAAATTTAGTATATGTTTTCTTTAAAAATTTAAGTCTCGCAAAGTTTTGATTATGTCGGTGTTATCAAAAAGTATAGATATTTACATCAGTTTCAAAATAAGTTATAACATGACTCAGAACACAATATAAATTGCATGTTTTTTATAAGTCACAGGGACTTGGATTGATTTAATATATGTACTAGTTTAATGAAATGTTAGATTTAACAATGTAATCAAAATGAGCCGCGCCATGACAAAACCAACATAATGCGTTTGTGACCAGCTTGGATCCAGACCTTAAATGTCTTTTTCTCTACAGGGAGATGATATGTCATTATGCAGGAATCTATCAGTGTTATACCTCTATGATAACCAGTTAACACATATTCCAAATCTTCATCAGAATCAACATCTTACCATGTTATACTTGCAAAATAACAATATCAGCAGGATAGAGGGACTGGCACATCTTGTACGCTTAACAAAATTGTAAGTATACCTAAAGATGCAATAGTTCTCAAAATAGTTATTGAAACAGTCATTCTCTTAGAATTTTTAATCAAATGGGTTTTGCATTTCAACATTTATATTATTAAGAATTGTGATTACATTGATTTCAAACAAATACATTATCATGTATTCATTTGTAAAACAAGTTAAACCTAAATTTAATATAAGTTGTTATATTATTCAGGTATTTAGGGGGTAATGCTATAACAGTGATAGAAGGTGTTGAGAAGTTAGACAGATTACAGGAACTACATGTAGAAAATCAAGCGCTACCTCCTGGTGAAAAACTGCTGTTTGACCCTAGGTCAATACGTGCTATATCTGTACGTACAGTATTGGTACCACAATAGTATCAGAGTTTTGATTCCTGATCAAATTTCATAATATTACAGAATATGTAGAACTTAATGAGAAAGAATTTAGACAAAATGATGATTTTGTTATAATGTTAGTTATGTAAAACTGAGTCATGTCTGTTGTTATACAGAAAACAACAGTTTTTTTTTTTTGTAGTCATTCTTCATTTTTTAAGAATGGTTATTCATGTGCCTTAATTTCCTTACAAAATATAGTTTTAGTGGTTTTCTACGGCATCTAATATACATCTTGTATTTTATTCCTTCCTTCCAGAAATTCTGAAATTGTTTTTCCCCTAAACTGGCCCTGCTTGAGCCTCTCCGTGTATATATATATATTGATCATGGTTTACAGTTCGCAATTCATGTTTTTCACAGATTAAGACAGTGTTTTCATAATCTATACATTTACTGTCAAGTTTTCAAATATGAAATATACATTGAACTGTTAAATGATTTAAACTATGTATTTAGGTGCACAATCTTGAAGTTTTTATAATACAGTAGAAATTCAAACATTGATTACAGGGAGCAAAATAATAGAGAACATTTTATGTATTTTAAAGTGTATTTAAATAGTTGGTGCAAAGCAAATACATACAATTCCTTGTGTAAATACATACTTTATGCCATTAGTTTTAAACATGTACATGTACAATGTATAGTTAGTTATAAACTGAATTGTTCAGTTAAATAGTAACAGTATAAAAAGATCATTTAAAGGAAAAGAAAAAAATACACATTCATTCATCTGTCACTAACAATTATTTCAATGAATCAAATAATTATATAGACATTTCTCAAAAAGTAAAAGTCTTTAGAAGAAGTTTTTTAGTATAGATAAGTAGAAATATATAAATGTAAACAAAAATCTTTGAACAGTTGTTGCTTTTTAAACTTTCAGGGTTCATTAAAAGTGCTAAATGTTAGTGGCAATAATTTAGACAGTATAAAAGACCTGGAGTGCTTAAATCAGTTATCACATTTCCTTGCAATAGACAACCAGTTAAATGACATGAAAGAACTAGCACATGTTCTTGGACAGTGGTATTACCTTAACAGATTGGATTTAATGGGAAACCCTTTGTGCCACAAAGCTAAATATCGAGATAGGGTCATAGTAATGGCCAAACATTTAGGTAAGTTTACTTGATGAAACAACTTAAGTAAAAGAATAAAAAAGAAATTTGTAAAAAAGTAAAAAAGAAGCTAATTCCTTTTTATACACATTACTGTTTTGAATGACTTAATAAATACTATGAATTGAAAAGTTTGGTGTTTTTAGTTCATTTGGAACATTAATGTATGCAAACTTCTTGTTTTCCTGTTTACCAGTGTACAACTTTCATCATATGTAGGCTATTAAATCTTACCAGGTGCTTCTTTGAAAGTGATAACAATAAAAAAAATCTTACAAATAATATAAAACAACATCATTGAACAATTATTAAATTAATCAAGTTTGAAAGTTAATTCCTTACCTATTTTAAAAGATCGTTTTTCTTTATAACAAAGTTGCAGAAAATGACATTTTGTAATTTTTAGCAACAGTTACCAAATTGGTTTTGCAAAAATCAAAGCAGTGCTGTAGTGATTATTTATGGCGTTTCTTGTTTAATTGTAAGCGGAAGTTATTGATCCTTTTTCACAAAGACTGTATAGAAATAAACTTGTCAGTACATCATGTTCAAAGAAATTTTTTTACTACTGTTGGAGCTATAAAAACACTTTACTTGTTTCTATAGAAACCTTAGATGGTAAGCAGATCAGCGAGACAGCTAAACAGTTCTTGAAAAATTGGCATGCAAATAAAGAGACGCAGCGACAAAAGAGGGCGGATCTTATACGTAGAGGAACAACGTTTATTGATGACTTTGCTGGTATGAGTTTATAATACATTTTAATGCTCAATGGATTCAGCTGATGTATATGCTGTTTTTTTGTTGTTGTAATATTTACATACGGTTAAATCTACTATACATGTAGTGAAATATTTAGCTAAAGGTAAAATGCTGACCATAAGAAAAAGGGCATATACGATTTCATTCCATGGACATGGGCATAGGTTTAACAGCTTATACTGTCCATTGTCAGGATATAAAAATTTATAATGGATTTATATTGCTGTCCCTTTTTCAACTAAAATTTAATGTGTTGCTTATTTTTATATGCATGGTGAGCAGTACTTTCTCTAGAAATATTTTTGATATCAGTGACTTTGTTTTGCTTGTACATGTACCTACCTTGATAGACATAGAACATAAAAACAAAACTGTTTAATTGTATACATTAGATTTCATTTAATCAATTACTTCTCAGTAAACTGAATTTATTTTGATATCTAGTGGGAGACAGTGGTGACCTGCCACCTGTAAGGGAACCAGGTAGAATGGGAACCATTCCGGGATATATGATGCCAGGTGAGTAAAGGAAAAATTAAATGATTGTGTTTATCGATTGATACATTGTTTTGCATTGTACTGTTACTGGTAAAGGCTTGGGTTAGGAAAAAATGGTTGTCATAGGAGATGGTCATACTTATGTTCTGTCATATGTATAAAGTTGCATATGTCAATATGTTCTGATACTGTCTTGCCTGCAAATTATTTTGAAATTTGCTTTTTATTTGCTTTCAAAATATGTGTATTTGAATCTTTTTTTCTATCATGATAAAGAGTGATTAACACATATAAAAGCTGTTTACTAATATGGTATTTTTCAAACCAATACAACATATGTACAACTTGTTTTCTTTCGTTGTTTCGAAGGGGCGAAGAATGTTGAAGGTTCTGATGTATTACCTCGTGTTTACGGGCATTCTGCCAGGGTATTAACAATTTGGGATCTTTCTAATCCATGCTGTATCTAAATTCACATGATATCCAGCTTGTGTCTGTCATAGATTTCTCTGCTTTATTTAAAAAAAGTAAACGTTCCAAATTATTTTTCAGGTGATTAATGCTCTTGAAATTATTGTTTTGTTTTCTGTTATTAATAGAATTGTGTCGACAAAGGACTATTAAACTTGCATTATTCTTGCAATTTATGATTTTTATAGTGAGCATATAAAATTGTGTAGAGAATTTGAATTAGTCATTTCCCCTTAAAAAAAAGCAAGAAACAATGTTATATCTGCATTCCCTATATGTATATGTGAAATAGAAAATTTCTCCTCTTGAATTTGACCCTTTAATACAACACATTTAACGGGTTGTGAAAGATTATTGAATGTTTCACCTTCCTGGGTTTTATTGTTGTTGCTGATAGCCCTTGAATCCTTCTGTCTTTATTTAACTAATCACTTCATTACTTTGTCCATAACCACATGTAGTATTAAAATATTAACAAGACCATGTAGAGAAATCACTGACAGATACAAAATTCACGAATGATAAACTACAAAGTGCCATAGTGTATAACTTTGCTAAAATAAGGAACCTCTTCTGGCAGTGGAATTATAGGAAAACAGGAAGTGATATAATGTAAGATCTTTTGGAGAATATTTAGTTCACCACATTTCGATACATTGATGTCCAGAATAATAATGAAGTGCATGAGCATGATTTTTTTGATTTTTTTTTAGACAAACACATGAATGTTGATGTAATAATGAGTTTAATGAAACAGTGTCATATAGTGTCCCTTGTCTTCAGAACAAACATTTAAAGCTAGAAGAAATGAAATAAAGATTTCTGACAGGTTAAATTGCCCAATATTCATGGCTGTGAGGTTATATCACTCAAGGCTCTATGTGCTGGTTATACAGTTAACTGTTTATACATGGTCATATAACCAAATATGTTAAAACACAATATTACCACACAATTGAATTGGTTTTCTTCGATTTCAGTTAAAATAAATCATAAATTTTTTTTTGTGGCAGTGTATATAAACAATATAAATGTTGCCATTGTTCAGTGAAATTCAGTGTTACGAATGTGCAGAAATAGTATTAACCTGTATATCAACTGACTCTAGCGTTTGGTATAACAGCATATCTGTAATTAGTGCAGATTTCAAAGTTTGATGTATTGTTGTGAATTAGTGAAACCAGATTACAGCTTACAAAACAAATAAAAAACAAGACAAATATAAAACTTCTTAAGTAGGTTATATATGCCAGGGAAGGTTTCATCATTTTATTATAATCTGCCATTTTATCCTATACTATAGAGCAGCTATAACATTAAATCTTAAATGTATACATGCATTAACATTCACAATTTCTCTATCTTCACCAATTCTTATCAACCTATATGCTTTAATTTACAGATTTAGCTTATGCAAAAACAAATAAGAATATTGTGTGATTACCTGCTTAAAATGTTTATGGTTTTATAATCATTTTCATTCTACTCACTTCCATTTCTGGTAAAATAACTATCCCATAAATAATACATGACAATTACCATAATTTTGTTGATATAAGAGAGTAATTTTGCTGATATAAGAGAAAGTTTTTGTACCAAATTCTTTTTCTGTCCCTTAAGTTAAAATAATATTGGACTTTTAAAAAGAAATAGTTAGCAATTTATCACTTTTCAGTTGCTTGAAATTAATTAAACTGTTAGGAAAATGTTTAGATACTTTGTTTTGGTACCTCTTCATATATTTGCATGTATAAATCAGTGTTTATATTTACATATATAAATGAAGGCATTACTTCAGGTGAGTGCTTTAAGCATTTCCCTAATGAGTTTAAACCACTGATATTTCTTGGAACAAGTTTGAATCCTACCCAAGCCTCATGATTCATTTTGCATGTCCTCTTTTAACTTAACATACATGTAGGTCAAAGGTAACATACATCTAGGTCAAAGGTCATTGAATATAAATTTACATTGAGTAGTTTAGAATATTTAGTAAACTAATACAGATTTTTGTCATGGGTTTCAAAGGAAAATATAGACATTGGTAATTGGCATCTTCTTTCAATTCTGACATATTAATTTTATTATAAGATTTGCAGCTAACTTTATAGTTATTTTTCTTAGAACCGAATAAAGATAAATTATTTATTGTTTAATCATAATAATGTATTGTACATGTCTTTAATTATGATAGTGTATGACATGGGAAGATTTCTGTTTATTTCTCAGGGACATTTAGAGGTAAAGGTACCTTATAACTAATCAGTTTGTTATTATAATCTGATTAATAAAAAATGGGGACATTAATTTTATAACATTTATTTAGAATTGTTTTTATACTACATCTAAAATTTGCATGCAGCTTCACATTTTATGTCTTTTTTGATATATAACAGGATTGTTATTTAGATGTGTTCTTCATTAATTGAGCCGCGTCACAACAAAACCAACATAATGGGTTTGCGACCAGCATGGATCCAGACCAGCCTGCGCATCCGCGCAGTCTGATCAGGATCCATGCTGTTCGCTTACAAACCCTATAACAAGTAGTGAAACTGATAGCGAACAGCATGGATCCTGATCAGACTGCGCGGGGCGCAGGCTGGTCTGGATCCATGCTGGTCGCAAACGCACTATGTTGGTTTTGTCGTGACGCGGCTCAATTATGTTACCACTACATTCTTGTCTAATGATTTCATAAAATGGTTTATTGTGATTTCTGTTGAAAGCAAGAGTTAAAACTTTGGTAAGAGTTCAAACAATGCATTTGTAGTATTAGAAACAATGTAACTCAGTTAGGTTTAGTATTTTTAACATGAGGCACTGTTAGGGACATTTAAATTTTTTTATTTTGCCCTTTAGTTGATTTTAGATGAGAACCATTCAAATCCTATTTGTGATTTACTAAATTAGTGAAAACATCCTTTAAATGTATAAACTAGTTATATACCTTATCCTTTAAGACCTTTGCTGTTAAGACTGGATCATACAAGATGTGTGGTTGTAAACATTTATTTTTTGGAGAGATGGACTGTCTCTCATTTTTGAAATATTACATATAACATATATGTATACTTCAATTTGAAACTTTAGTTAAATTACATACTTAAGTTGGCATAATAATTGACTTAGAAAGTCTTATGACATTTGTTTTTGTGGAGATTTTTGTTTTTGCTTAAAGCTATTAAAACTGCAAAGTAAAACATTGATGCATTATGTAAAGCTCATGCACAATGTCAGTGATTACACAAGGACAGTAACTTCTCTGACTTGATATATAAATGTTCAATTTTCATCAGTAAAGTTACATTGTTTAATTAACAGGTAACAATAATAACTGCTTCTTACCACTGAAACAGAGAAAAAGGTTTACCATAGTACCTGGAGTAAAAGGAGCGAGAGTGTATGAAAGTATGAAATAAAAAAATAAAAATATTCCTGTTACATCAGTTTATATTGTTGTTTTTTCTTGTTTTGCTTTTACCTATAATTATGTTTCATGATGTTTAAGTATTGAATATTAATTTTATGTTGTTAAATCTGTTATAATAGGTTGGATGATTTTTTTTCTCCCAATAATTTAACATTATGACTATGAAGTGTACTTGTGAGAGAAATGAGTTTTATATAAAAAAAATGAAAAAAGAATATTTTCTTAAAATGAATTGAAAATGAAATCATGGCGACATTCCTTTACTCATAAATCATTTTTCATAAAATATATAGCTCTGCACATAACATCATCACAAAACACTGATTAAAAGAAAGGTGCAATCTTACATTGTAGATAATTTATTCTAATACTAAATAACTTCACAGATTATAGAAAACTAACTTGCACCCTAACACTGCCTCATAGTTGTATGTATTATATTTAGTTTATCAAAACAAGAATGAATTTATTTTTTATGTTGATTTCTAGTTTGTTTACCATCATATTATTATATTCTGTTCCATAGACCTCTTGATTGTAAATTCGGCTCCGTTGCTCCGTCCCAAACAAAGTAAACGAGCTAGCAGTGCCCCCGTACAGCGAAAGGTGATAATATCAGCTTGTAGCCCTATCTAGAAGGGTTATACCCATGGAATGCCTTATTAGATATAGTCATACCATTTTTGTAGATATTTTTGTTATATTTTGATGGAAGTTTTTTATTTTCTCTCCTCTTTGTCTTTTGGTGATGTCATAATGTTTGTCATTTATGTTTTTAATTTATTGTAAAAATTCTGGAAGGAATAAGTTACATACATAAGTTTATTTCAGCATGGTCAAAGTTTAGCATATATCTTGAAAATAGAATTTGTATTTATTTTCCAAGTGTTTTTTGTCTGTGTCTCATTATAATAATAATTTGTCACCTTAGTGAAGTATTAGGTTAATTCCTTTTAAATTTAATAGATTTAACCTGTTATTGCACTAAGGTGATAATATGTGAGGTGCGAAAGAATTAACAAATATAAGTTATGAGAGAACATTTTGACATCATCTGAGTGAGTTATCAGATATTTTATCCTAGATAATCAATCCAAAATATTGTATTATTTTGTCCTACAAATTTGGTTGCATTTGCTGTCCGGGTCTTTTATCTTTCTTCATATTGGATTTATTGTTCTCAACACATACATGTATAAAGTGGTGTCTTTCTTTTGCATGGGGTATAATATATTTTATTTGCATGGTTTGTAGAGATTGTTCTGTAAAATCATTAACAAACACCATTTTCTGAAGATCAGATTTTTTCATTTCAGATACAGTAGGTCATTTTGCCTAAATCTAAATTAATACAACAGATAGACATGTCATGAAATGTTAATGATTTTACAGATTTTATTCATATTTATTATTATGCTTGCATGTACACAAGATTATTTTATATTCCTTGGATTTTTTTTTCATTTTCAGAAAATATAATAAAAGGTGGGTAGCCAGGTCAAAGTTATCACCTCAAGATTTAGGGGAATTAAGGGATTTAAGGACAATAACTTGGTATTTGGGATAAAGAGTTGTGCAACACTTTCCTGTTTCCAGTATTGTTTTTAGCTCACCTGTCACAAAGTGACAGGGTGAGCTTTTGTGATCGCTTTTCGTCCGGCGTCCGTCCGTCCGGCGTCCGTAAACTTTTACTTTAAATGACATCTTCTCATTAACCACTCAGCCAATTTCATCCAAACTTCACAGGAATGTTCCTTAGGTGGTTACCTTTGAAAATTGTTCAAAGAATTTAATTCTATGCAGAACTCTGGTTGCCATGGCAACCAAAAGAAAAAACTTAAAATATCTTCTTCTAAAAAACCCAGCTTAGATTTTTGGCATGAAACATCTTCTGGTTAGTGTCTACCAAGTTTGTTCAAATAAAAGCCCTTGGGTCAAAATTGGCCCTGCCCCAGGGGTCATTGATTTTCCCTATATGCATATAGTAAAAACTTAAAAAATCTTCTTTTAAAGAACCCAAAGAGCCACAGACACTTGGGGTTTGGAGCTCAAAACACCTTTAAAATCCAAATAAAATGCATATTTGTCAATCCCAAGACATGTACTGATCATATATATCAAAAAAACTTAATATATGCCGTTTTGAAAAAAAGTCATATTTCAACAACTATAATAATACACAAGATAAAAATGTTCGCCGGAAAAAATCCGCATCCCTACCGTCATAATCACCATGTATTTTATTCCATTTCCAATATTTTCACATAATCCTTTGGTCCATCGACACAGAAGATATAATTCTTCACGATGATGGTCAATTTTAAACTTCAACGGTAATATAAACAACGCAACAGCCGTAATAAACATCAATATTATCGCCGTTTTTAAGATATTAAGCATGAAACATCTTCTAGTAAGTGTCTACAAAGATTGTTCAAATAAAAGCCCTGAGGTCAAAACTTGCCCTGCCCCAGGGGTGTCATTGTTTTTAAATATATGTGTAAAAATTTTTTAAAAAATCTTCTTTTAAAAAACCCAACGAGCTAGACCTTAGATGTTTAGCATGAAACATCTTCTAATGGGTATCTACCAAGTTTGTTCAAATAAAAGCCCTTGGGTTTAAACTGGCCCCGCTCTGGGGGGCCTATATACAGGTGAGCGACTTCAGGGCCATCATGGCCCTCTTGTTACATATTATTTTCACTGCCTTCTGTCAGAAATGTAATAATCCTTTCTTCGGAGTTCATCCTTAAATAATAAGTATTTGTTGAAGTAACTCATTTGTAATTTTCTTTAATTTTTAGCTCACCTGTCAAAGTGACAGGGTGAGCTTTTGTGATCGCTTTTCGTCCGGCGTCCGTCCGTCCGTCGTCCGTCCGTCGTCCGTAAACTTTTACTTTAAACGACATCTCCTCATAAACCGCTGAGCCAATTTCATCCAAACTTCACAGGAATGTTCCTTTGGTGGTCACCTTTAAAAATTGTTCAAAGAATTTAATTCCATGCAGAACTCTGGTTGCCATGGCAACCGAAAGAAAAAACTTTAAATATCTTCTTTTAAAAAACCCTAAGAGCTAGAGCTTAGATATTTGGCATGAAACATCTTCTAGTGAGTGTCTACCAAGTTTGTTCAAATAAAAGCCCTGGGGTCAAAATTGGCCCCGCCCCGGGGGGGTCATTGATTTTCCCTATATACATATAGTAAAAACTTAAAAAATCTTCTTTTAAAGAACCAAAAGAGCTAGAGCTAAGATATTTAGCATGAAACATGTTCTAATGGGTGTCTACCAAGTTTGTTCAAATAAAAGCCCTGGGGTCAAAATTGGCCCCGCCCCGGGGGGTCATTGATTTTCCCTATTTGCATATAGTAAAAACTTAAAAAATCTTCTTTTAAAGAACTCAAAGAGCTATGGCTAAGTTATTGAGCATCAAACATGTTCTTATATGTGTCTACCAAGTTTGTTTAAATAAAAGCCCTGGGGTCAAAATTGGCCCCGCCCCAGGGGGTCATTGATTTTCCCTATATGGATATAGTAAAAACTTAAAAAATCTTCTTTTAAAGAACCAAAAGAGTTAGAGCTAAGATATTTAGCATGAAACATGTTCTAATAAGTGTCTACCAAGTTTGTTCCAATAAAAGCCCTGGGGTCAAAATTGGCCCCGCCCCGGGGGGTCATTGATTTTCCCTATATGCATATAGTAAAAACTTAAAAAATCTTCTTTTAAAGAACCAAAAGAGCTAGAGCTAAGATATTTAGCATCAAACATGTTCTAATGGGTGTCTACCAAGTTTGTTCAAATAAAAGCCCTGGGGTCAAAATTGGCCCCGCCCCGGGGGGTCATTGATTTTCCCTATATGCATGATTGTAAAAACTTAAAAAATCTTCTTTTAAAGAACTCAAAGAGCTATGGCTCAGATATTCAGCATCAAACATGTTCTAAATAGTGTCTACCAAGTTTGTTCAAATAAAAGCCCTGGGGTCAAAATTGGCCCCGCCCCGGGGGGTCATTGATTTTCCCTATATGCATGATTGTAAAAACTTAAAAAATCTTCTTTTAAAGAACTCAAAGAGCTATGGCTAAGATATTTAGCATCAAACATGTTCTAATAGGTGTCTACCAAGTTTGTTCAAATAAAAGCCCTGGGGTCAAAATTGGCACCGCCCCGGGGGTCATTGATTTTCCTTATATGTGTATAGCAAAAACTTAAAAAATCTTCTTTGAAAAAACCCAAATAGCTAGAGTTAAGATATTGAGCATCAAACATCTTTTAGTGAGTGTCTACAAAGTTTGTTCAAATAAAAGACCTGGGGTCAAAATTGGCACCGCCCCGGGGGTCATTGATTTTCTTTATATGTGTATAGCAAAAACTTAAAATCTTCTTTGAAAAAACCCAAATAGCTAGAGTTTAGATATTAAGCAAGAAACATCTTCTAGTAAGTGTCTACCAAGTTTGTTCAAATAACAGCCCTGGGGTCAAAACTGGCCCGGCCCCAGGGGTGTCATTGTTTTTAACTTTATGTGTATAGTAAAAACTTTAAAAAAATCTTCTTTTAAAAAGCCCAATGAGCTAGAGCTTAGATGTTTAGCATGAAACATCTTCTTATGGGTGTCTACCAAGTTTGTGCAAATAAAAGACGTTGGGGGGGGGGGGGGTGGGGGTTGGTGGGGGGCCTATATACAGGTGAGCGACCTCAGGGCCATCATGGCCCTCTTGTTTTATTTTTTAACGTTTAAAGTTAATGGAAAGAATTTTGTATAAAATAAGATAAAATGGGTGCAATATATTTTTAATGAATTACACTTTATATTGGAGTTTGCATTGATAAATTATGAAATTTTTTTTTACATAAATATCGCCATAGAGTGTGCGTACATGTACTTTGAAACCGAAAATGATTTCTTATTAGACAACATGGCCTGGTGGGCACGACGTGATCTTTTGTTGATAACTTTGTGTGTTGTTGATCTGGCTATAGGTGTTGTCCTAGACGGGTTTTTCACTTGCATGCCATTAAATCAGAGTTTTCTTCTAGTTTGTGCAGATCTTGATGTTTTTTGTTGTTTCTAGTTATTCATTTTACAGATCTTTTGTTACGCAATAACATTCCACAAGGTATGGTAGTGTGTTTATATATAAATATGCTACCAGTAGTTTTGTAAATATTTACTATATTAGTTACTTTAAAAATAATGAGAACCTTGTGCTAGAAAGAATAAATTATGAGTGAAATTTAGACCAAAAGTTTCAATAGATAAATATACTCATAGTTGTATAAAGAGACACTTGGACTGTATAGATTGTTTGTATTTGATTAGTATATTTTTTGTTTATTGTTATATTATGATATACAAGTGTATATTATGGCCTATTGGTCTTTATACACATATGAAAAATCCCAATTTAAGTTGAAATATTAAAATGCTATACTTGATCAGTCTTGTTATACCACAATGACAAACAGATACTAACGGCACATAATCATCCATCATCCAAGCTCTGATGGTCTTAAGTGTTAAGTTTGTACTTTTAAGAGAATTATATACATTGTACATGCATTATATTATTGCACATATCAAATATATGCTAATGATCCTATCTTTATAGTATAGATATTCACTGTAACAATATATAGCTATTATAGGTAGCTAAATGTATCAATGCCAATGCTAGCAATACATATCTAAATATCCTTGTTGGTTATGGTATGATTTATTATAGATCAACTTTTATATGTTTATATGTAGTGTAATTAAAGTGAATGCAAAATTTCATTTTAGTTTCAATAATTTAATCATGCATTCAAGTACATGTAACTTAATGTATTAATTTTCATTTTTTATGTGTATTATTTTATAGGAAGTTTGCATTATGGTCATCCATTTTTGTTGCACATTATGATTTTTTTCTCATTCTTTATGTTTCTAATTTATAAAAAATTTGATAATAAATATTCTGTGTAATTGTATTATAATTGTAATGATCTTGTATAATCAAATCTTTAGTCACTGTAGTAAGTAAATATAAGCAAACATGTTTATTCACAAGATTAACTATTTTGTTATTTAGGTTTACCGAGAAAACAGTTTGACGAATTGTTGGCCAGAACGTCGGCCCTTGCAGACACGGGCATCCAGCGGTCGGCCCCAGTCAAGGCAAGAAGTGGCCTCTTAAGATCAAAGTATGTATAATCAGTTATCATGTATTGTCTCTTCTAAATATAGCTATATATAAATGAATATTTTGATGTGATTTAGTATCAAGTCAGTAACGTGCCTGGATTGAATGTTCAGATCCTTAGTATATGGCTTGTCTGTTGCACTTTGTTTAGGTTAAATCTAGAACATATAATATACTTACAGGAGGTTTTTATTTGAATTTATGTGTGTATTGGTAGTGCAAATAAATACAAGATGGGTTCATTTAGAATTAAGATTTACTTTATATTCATGAAAACAAAGTGACTTTCTCTATATTCTGCTTATTGACTGAACAATGGGTGACAACCAGAGAGTTATTAATCCTGAGCATGCTGAATATTTTAAATGGACTTGTCCCACTTCCATTTTTATGCCCCCACAGAGTGGGAGCATATAGCGTTGCACTTGTCCGTCCGAGTTTCCGTCCGTACGTCTGTCCATCCGTCCGTCTGTCTGTCCGTACGTCCCAAAATCTTGTGAACGCAACTCCTCTTAAACCGGATGGCAGATTTTGCTCAAACTTACAGGGATAACAACCTTAATGTGTAGATGGTAGTAAAGGAAGGAATTTATGCTGCGACCAAATTTAACAGAATTATGGCCCCTTGTTGATTTTTTCACTATGTACTATGTAGAAATTTTGTGAACGCAACTCCTCTTAAACCGGATGGCAGATTTTGCTTAAACTTCCAGGGATGATAAACCTTAATGTGTAGATGGTAGTAAAGGTAGGAATTTTTGCTGCGACCAAATTTAACAGAATTATGGCCCTTTGTTGATTTTTTCACTATATACTATGTAGAAATTTTGTGAACGCAACTCCTCTTAAACCGGATGGCAGATTTTGCTTAAACTTACAGGGATGAACAACCTTAATGTGTAGATGGTAGTAAAGGGAGGAATTTTTGCTGCGACCAAATTTAACAGAATTATGGCCCTTTGTTTATTTTTTCACTATATACTATGTAGAAATTTTGTGAACGCAACTTCTCTTAAACCTGATGGCAGATTTTGCTTAAACTTCCAGGGATGAACAACCTTAATGTGTAAATGGTAGTAAAGGGAGGAATTTTTGGTGCGACCAAATTTTACAGAATTATGGCCCTTTGTTTATTTTTTCACTATATACTATGTAGATATTTTGTGAATGCAACTCCTCTTAAACCAGATGGCAGATTTTGCTTAAACTTCCAGGGATGAACAACCTTAATGTGTAGATGGTAGTAAAGGAAGGAATTTTTGCTGCGACCAAATTTAACAGAATTATGGCCCTTTGTTGATTTTTTCACTATATACTATACAGAAATTTTGTGAACGCAACTCCTCTTAAACCAGATGGCAGATTTTGCTTAAACTTCCAGGGATGAACAACCTTCATGTGTAAATGGTAGTAAAGGAAGGAATTTTTGCTGCGATCAATTTAACAGAATTATGGCCCTTTGTTGATTTTTAGTTTTCAACTTGTGGCACATGTAGTCCAAAAAAATATTTGACCTCAAGTATTAAGATTGACAGAACAGTGGTGTGTGGGGGCATCCGTGTCCTATGGACACATTTCTAGTTGGGATTATCAATTATCAATTTTAGGGATATCAATTTGAATATTTAAAGTTTGTTAGCCAACAGTATAGAGCCTGGTCAGACTGCAGTGATACAGATGTGCAGGCTGACCTGGCTCTATACTGGTGGCAAAGGCTTAACACTTTCAGTTCCGTCAGCTGACTTTAAGGGTTTCAATTCATTCTTTTATTCAGCATGAAATAAACTTTTATCACTTCTCTTGTTAGTAAATCTAGTAACAGTTAAACCTTTAGTGGTTGTGGAATTTATTTATGCTGGAATAAAAATCAACAATACATATAATGGGATTTTGTATATCTATTATGAGAAAAACTAGTCAGATACTTTATTAAAAAATATTTCATTCACTTCAGACTTGATTGTTGAGTGATGAATAATAATGTTGGCATTTAATACTAAAATCATTTTGCCAGTAAAGTTAATAACTAAGTATGTTTTCAAATTACAAGAACAATTTATTCTGCAACAATTCCAGTCAAACTTTATTATGTCAATTACTTCTCAATAAGAATGCTTAAATGTCTAGAAATTTACCTTTCCTGCAGAAGGTTTGAATTCTTTCAAAAATTTGAAGCTTTATTTTAATTTAGTTCTCCTAAATATGATTATATCCTGTTGTGTGAATAACCCTGTCAAAGTAGAGTTAATTATTGTATTACACTTATGCATGTTTAGCATATAGAGGATATTGAATATTGAATTTATTGAACAATTAATGCTCTGGCAAGCATAATATTACTTTATTCAACTTGTTCAATAAATTTAGTAATTCAATAAATTTAGTAATGAAGCTATACAAATATAATATTTTATTTATCATATACCAAATATGAACAGTTGTCCGTGAAAAAGAATTGTATTTCATTGAGATGCATTTACTGTAACACTAGTGTCAAGTGTGACATACTTTTTTAAGGCATATCAGATGCCATATTAAAATACGTGCATGCCCATGTTATATTGTTTTAATGGAGTCGCAAAAGCTGTTCAGGTATATGATAAATGAGCTTTGTAGATGAATGTTTGTTTTAGATATGTACATGTAAACATATTTTCGTACAATCTTTATTGAAATTCTGTTTTGACAGGGGTTAAATTACCTCTAGTTGCATTCTGTCAATTTTTGTACTTGGCTTTTGGCTTTTTATTTCTAATATTTATTAAGAACAATGAAAATATTTATTTTTTTACCTATATATAAAGTCGTGATCAGGCCACATCACCAAGGTTCCACTACAGGTAGCATGAAGGTGTGTTTGTGTGAGACAAAAACTTGTAGAATGTATCAGTTTCTCTGTCGCACTTTTTGGAAATATCTTATTTGAATATTTTATTATGATTGCCTTTGTTTTAGACATATAGTTTATATCTGTAGTGTTGTTTATCTGGTGATGTGCATTTATCAATTTGAAGTGGCCATTATAAACGTGGTGATATGAACATTTTTTTTCTTTCATTTTTTGCATATTTTGCTCCTTTACACAGCTTAGTTGTTGGAGTTAATTAGTGAAATGATTTAGGGATTTTATATTTTTAAATCATATCATACCGTCTTAACAAATTTTGAATTCGGAATGTATGCACTTTTCTTTTTTAAAATTTTCATTTTATTAATAACAAAAATGGAATCACTTTGGCAGAGGAGTTAAAGTTGTTAACATTGCCTATTGATCTTAGAAATATTTTCACATAATGATAGTATTTTTGATAGCTTACAGAAGATTAAAAATTTTACCTTTGTTTCCATTCTTGCATTAAATAGTGAACAGCAGGGTACCTTGGGTTTGTTCTTGTCAAAACTAAGACTACCAGTATAGATAAAAATCTTATATTAATTGTGTTTCAAAGAGTAGAGCACGCTCAGGATTTCATCTCTTTAACTTTATACCATTGAAAAGTGATGTCTTTTTTTTTAAGTATATAATTATGTGTGTATTTTACAGCTGCAGTTTACCTGAAATAAATCCCTATCAGTTTCTTATTGTCACTTCACCACGGCTTCAAATGGAGTAGTTAGGTAGTAAAGCATGCATTATCTGCCCTTGATTGTCTAATACCCCATAATGACTGAAGATTTGAATTTGATTGATACCCAAATATTTTGCATGGTGTTTTACCCATGTATATATCCTCATTTATCTAATATGGCCTCATAGAAAGTTGAAATTGGTTTCTAAATCATCACAAAAAATAAATAATTGAAGCATCTACTGTTTGTCAATAATCCTGAGCAGGGATTTATCATTTTATAACTTTTAGCCAAACCTAACTTACTTTTACATTGAATTGTGGGGAAAGCATTGAATATTTCAATAAAAAAACATGAATTGCACTGAACAAGGTGTTTTATTAATATCAGGGTTTGGTAAAAAAATTTATCATTGTATAAAGTAATTTTAGAATTTTGACATTTTTACTGGTTTGGTTGCAGACATTGAAAAGTGTGTAATCTAGACTATTAAAAAAACAGGTTGGCAACTCTATTTTGGCTCTGTCATTGGCTTCAGCATGATACTTGTTTAAGATTTTGTGAGCCATTTCATTTAGCACTGAAGGTGTACATGTTCTCTGGTCATTGTCAAAGACCCATAACTGTAGCATGGCTTTTGGCTGAATTATAAAATACCCATTTGTAAACTTACTTTACTCTTTGCATATAAGTTTTTTTTTATCTGCATTACTATTAAAATTATGCATTTAAAAATTCACACAAAATGTGTTTAAAAATCATAATTGTTGGTCACTGTCCAAAACTTATTCTTTTGTACTTTGACCCATGTTTTAGGGGTAATACTTGCAGGTTATATAATTTATATACTGCTTGGATTTTATACTGGAGTTTACTACTTTGTTAACTATAATATAGTCAAGCTAGCTCTTTGTTTTGACAGCTTTTCAGCATACTTTACTTATTGATTGCAGAATATTACGTTCCATATAAATGCAATTCATTAGTATATGTATATAATGTAAGACATAAATATTGACTTTACACATTTTAATTGTTTACAGTACTATAGTTTTGGGAGAGTTCAAGTGATAGTAGGTACACATCCATGTCTGTTAAGTCCTTCCATGTCACAGTACCTAACCTGTCACAATGTTCAAAATGTGTTTGCCACAATGCAAAAATATGTTGCAAGTTTGATAACCCCCTTGTCAATCATTTCAAACATTATTCTTATCTTTAGCTTAGACCGACCTAATATATAAAACATTTTTCTTATTTAGATGACCACTATGTATATTATACAAGTGTTGTTTTTTGGCATAGTTATATCACGCAAATTGTTTGAAAACGTATATTCATGCTGTATACGTATTAGGGTTATTTTTTGTAACAATTATTTTTAGAAATTAACACAGCAAGTACACCACAGCAACATAATTATAAAACATACTAGTTGGGAATCTAAATGAGATGTTGTTTGTGATGGAACAACAAAATTAACAAAACAATGTACAGTAATTGTAACAAAGCAAATAAAGCAAATTGTTTGTTTCCTGACCAGATTACTATGTTGATATAATGTTGGAAATGATTGACAAGGGTTTGCATTCCCAGTTCAAAACTGTGTTTAAAACAAAACTAACAGTGCATGCAGAATTATTTAACAAACATTTTGTACTAACAACCTTGGCATATGGAGTTCCTTTATAAGGCACACATTTAACAACTATGTGCAATTGTAACTGACATGCTTTGTTATTATACCCCCGCACAACAAAGTTGTAAGGGGGGTATACTGGAATCAGCTTGTCCGTCCGTCCGGCCGTCCGTCCGTCGGTTTTTTCTTGTCCGCCCAATAACTTAAGATTCCTTTGACCCTTAGTCTTCATATTTGGCATGGAGGTTAGTCATGATTAGTAGATGACCCCTATTGATTTTGAGGTCACTAGGTCAAAGGTCAAGGTCACAGGGACCTTGACTTCAAAAAGTTTGTCCACCCATTAACTTAAGATTCCTTTGACCCACAGTCTTCGTATTTGGTATGGATATTGATCATGACTATAAGGTGACCCCTATTGATTTTGAGGTCACTGGATCAAAGGTCAAGGTCACAGGGACCTTGACAAAAAAAAGCTTTTCTTCTCAATTGCTAAAGAATGTCCTGTCCGCAATGTATTGATTTTGACATTTTCACATTTGAAGCATGTAGAATACATAACTTAGCAATGCACTGGCTTAGTAACCTCAGATTTGGCAGGGAGGTTGTCCTTGAGCTCTAAATGGCCACTGTTGATTCTGACAAAGTGGTATGCGGGGGTATTCACGCCATGATAGTGGCAGTTCTAGTTCTATCAGTTTTGCAAAGAAATGGTACAACGGAATTGACTGCTCCTTTGTATTCAACTAAATAATCACAAGTCCCCAGAATGGCTTTGAATTGTTTTTTCTGGACAAATTATTTACTGCATTTTTTTCTGCTTGACAATAGCATTTAACAATTTGACAGATGATTCAGTCATGTACAAGGTGATTAAGGATAGCAAAACATATTAAATTTGGAAATACCAGTTCATGTGAGGGTTATATACTTATAACTCTTGAGCCACTCTTGCTTTTTTCAACAGTTATCATATACCTAATTTAAGTACACTTTTTATACTGAAGGGTGTTTGTACTGTAATGTTATTTTTTGAGAATATACCAACATGGCCACTTGCTCATCCCTTAAACAGGATATCCTATCTTTTCAATAAACCCAGCTTTCTAGTGCAGGCTATTGTCAGAATAAATATTTAACATTATTCATGTTCTTTTATAATATTTCATTTCTTTGCAATTTTTAATGCATTATTGTTTTTTTGAAAGCATTAGTAGGGATTAAATTTTTTTTTAATGTTAACTTCAGTTTTGTGATACAATTACTGTGATGAAGATGAAAATTATGATGATGATGAAAATGTTTACTTAAAGTTTCTAATGTACATTATAAATGAGCAACTAGCAATACCACTGTACTATATTTTGGAGTTGGTCAATTTCCTATCAAATTACATGTCTTGAACATTATATTTTGTTCATATAGAAACACTATCATTTTGTCTTCCAAAGAAGTAGTAGCATCTTTTATGAGACACTATTTTTAAGCACCATCCCACTAAATTTGTTTTACAGACTTGTCTTGTTTTATATAAAGAGCTTCCAAATGTTAATTCAAGGAATTTCAATATCAAAATATATAAATAAGTAGCCAGCAGTGTCTGGTAAATCTACATAGATATGAAGGTTGTTCTGGTTGACTTTGCTTTAGAAACTTAAGTTTTCTTCTACTGTCCTTTAAGTAGCCTCCAGGGAGGTAAATTATCTTGATTCTGTGTGTATCTTATTTATCATATCTTCCTGGGAATTGCTGGTGAAATTTGCAACATGTAATCAATAATAAGTCAAGTAATTAATTTTTAACAAGCATTTTTATGAAAAAAATATAAGTGATAAATAGGGAAGATTTCCTTCAAAATGGTGCCTATACCTCATGACTTTGTGATCTGCGTGGGGCAGAAAATAAAAGTAAAGTCAGTCTAGCATTTATTTTCTTAAAGTATTTTTTTAAAATTCCATTATTTTTTATGGGGTTAAGTGTAGAGTGCTCATTCAAATGAGTACCCCGTACATAGAATGTTTTTTGGGAAAAAACAATAGGCTTTGTTGTAAAGTGAAATAGCATGAATTTTTCATTTATGAAACACATGGTTTCACTTTATGAAAAAAATAATGGCATTTAAAAAACAAAAACATTTTAGATATATGTTACCAACAAGCATAAGAAGGTCCTGTCCCACTTAAATGATAAAATATTAAAAGAAGTTAGAAGTTATGAGGACCAACTTGTATATTTGATTTCTGCTCTTGGCACCACCTTTACATTGTTTCTCAAGTCATTAAGTAAGATTGTGGAAGTATTTTTTATTCTAATTGGTTCTACCTACAGAATGATTGTTAATGTTAAATCAGAATTGGTGACAGTATTGTCTTCATTGTGTTTCTGTTACCCCATTATCCAAGCAACAATTAAGGACACACTTTAACTTTAACTTGACAGTATAAAAATATATATATATATTGTGTATGGTGAGATATACAAACCTTTTTTGTTATAAATTTTTGGTCAGAGGTGTTTATAGTGTCTTTAAATAATCTAATACTGTACAGTTACAAGTCAATGTTATTATAAATGGTGTTTATTATTGTCCTATTTTGTTTAATGTTTTTGACAAATTCTTTTTTGAGATGCTTATATTTATAATAAGAAATAGTAAATGTTTTTACCACTTATTAGTACCTTTAGCTAGAAAATAGAAGTCAGATGGATGGAATATTATATGAATATTGTCATGTACTATCATAGAGTAAAAGAAAATGAATTCTACAAATTATTTTGAAGTTAACACACTTACTTAATATATTCCTTTATGTAGGTTTAAATAAATATATAATTTATTTTTCAGGTATATTGATACTTCCAACAGCAATAAGAAAGATCTTTTCTCTGGCTCTGCCCCACTTAGACGCCGTCCACTGATGAGTGTTGCATTTGAACTGAACACAGAAAATTTAAATCAGACTCGCCATATTCCAACTGACCTTCTTAACAATGTCAGGTGAATGGACAATGTTAATAACTTAAATATGGCTGGAATGGTGGAATCTCTTAACATTTGAGACTCTGTCAAACAGAAAGCCTTCACTTACAAGCAGTGGTCTTCTGTGTAATTTTACAAAATAAGAAAAAAAATTCAAGTATAGTAATTTGAACTTTCTACTCTGTAAACTTGTAAGCAAATACTGGCAAAGACTGGGCTGTAAAATGCCTACTGTCATTTTATTCTAATATTCTAACATTTGTAATGTTGATTTAACCTTGTAAAGATTACTTTGTTCTTATGAATATTAAAAAAAGGTAACTTTATAATTATCAATATTAAACATAAATGGGCATTTTGTATAGACCTAGACTAGAAAAATATGATTTAATTGTTTTATTAATTTTGATAGGAAAATAAAACTTAGTGTTTTTTTAGTGGGATCGATTTACATGCAACTTTTATTGATAAAATGATCACCTGTTTTGTTGTGATGCTTATAGGTGCTTATTTAGAAATTGTTTAAAGTCAGATGAATCTTTAAACAGATCATTTAATTGTTTATTTCAAGAATTGTTTCCATCCTCATCTTTTGAAGTTTGTTTTTGACATTTTATATGTAAATTGTATACTCTTAAGAATAAAGTTTTTTCTTTATATTTTGAATATAGCAAATTATTTACCAAAATTTTAGAAAATTAGGGTTGATTTGGTTATATGTCTCTATAAAGAATGCTTTCCAATTACATGTATTTATCTTTTTTTATTGTAGATTAAACCTATTTCAAAATCATGTGGTTAATCCATGAAAGGTATAAAGTTTAACTTCCTGTCGTTTTTTGTTGTTATAAAATTTGTTCATGATATTGTTTGGCAATATTGACCTGAGACTCGTTAATTTTCGGAAGCTTTTTCAAATAGTTCCCATACTTTATTACGACTTACTTATTGATTTTAATGATAGGAAAGGTCTCGAAACTTTATTTTATACTTAAAAGTCCTGATGGCCTAGTGGTCAGTATGATAGCCTAGTAATTGTGAAGTTTGAATCCTCAATAAACTTTTTTTTTCAGATTTCTTCAATTAATTTTATTTAATTATATGCAGCGTTGGTGACTGAATCATTTCTTGAATTTCTTTGCCTTTTCTTTTAAAAAAAAATCGTAACTTTGATGTATAGATATGTAAATTTTCATAATTTCAATTTGTATAGTCATACAATGGGTGATTGGCATGCACAAAATCTTAGTAGTCAAGTATGGAAAAATATGGTTAAAAAACCCATAAAAAATGTTTTGTCTTAAGATTCAAACTTACAATCATCAATTTGAAACTATGAGTCTTAACTCCTTAACACCGAGGCTAGTTGGGCAAGTGTTGTGTCAAAAACTTTAAGTTATACATAAACTATGTATACCATTATGCCATACTTTAAAATCCGTATGATTTACTTTGGAATCCGACAATTACCGACAAAGGTCATTGAATATTCAAATGTCTCAGGTCAATATTGCCAAACAATATAAGTTGAATTGTTTTTATTGGCATTTGTAATTTTAGACAACAATTTGTACATATTTTCTGTTTGTTTTTAAGTTATTGCAGACCATATAATGGTATATGTCAACCTTCCAGGCAAATAGCAGAAACAATATATTGTCCATAATAAAACTATGATTTACACTGTACTGTGTTTGTCAGACAAGGGTAATATACAAGTAAGAAAGTTACATAGGGTAAGCAGTGACAATTTTCTTTATGCATTTATAAATATCACTTGTGTTAACACATTACATAAAATATGTGTTTTAATGGTGGAACTGCAGTGTTATCATAATCAGATAAGAATAATGCATTGTTTGATGTTTAATATATTACATTGTTTTATCTTTTTGCATTACACATCAATCATATAATTGATGACAAATACTTTTTGCATTCATGAATGCTTTTCCCAGATTTAATAGATTGTATCCATTAACATGTATGTGTAAAAAGCATTTAAGTTTTAAGGATAACATGTAGTAGTTGGCACAAAAATGTTTGTGTTGTTTCAAGAATAAGAATTTTCTCATGCAATTCAAAGTAGGGACAAGTTACAGTTTATTACAGTAATGACCTGACGGTCCTGACCCTTAACTTCTTGAATTTCTTTAATGAACTTGTTCAGATTCCATGTTTGGGACTTTCAATTATCAATTTTGGGAAAATCAAAATGTTACTTGGAAGTTCGTCTTTGCCAACTGTGTGGAGCCTGGTCAGACTATACTGATGTCAAAGGCTGATCACTTAGTTCTTGTATTGTTAATGAACACTGTATTGAGTTCATGTGAAATATGAACATGTATATCAGTAGTAATGCTTGAGATATTAAATTTACTAGATAATTTTGAAAATTGTTTATATATATATATCACTTGTTTAAGCTCATTGTATTACAATTTTAATCTCAGTCACTCATGTTTATGACATGTTCTATATGTAGTATACTTGAAAATAAATGTGTTCACTTTTTTTAATGTAAAGAAATTTATCACTGTTCACTAAGGATTTACACATCTTGTCATATATTGTCCCATCTTTATGAAAATATATGGTTGATTTAAACAAATTCTAACAATTACTTTAATATGAAATTAAAGCATAAATTATTCCAGTTGATAATAGTTATTTTATTTCATGTAAAGGAGCTCCACTTAGGTCAAAAAGCCTAAAAACATCAAATGTGAAATTTTAACATAAGTAAAACACTTAAAATGGAAAAATTTTGCAATAGAAAATAAGAAATATACTCCAACTTAAATTGAAAATGGATAGTTAGTGCAATGTGTAGCCAGATTTGAGTAACATTTTGATCATTTTGCACAATAAAATCTGGAAAAACGGTGACTGAAACATCTGAAAATTTGCACACAAATTATTGGTTCAAATGTACTAATGAACACAAATCTCAGAAAATATCTCTGGTCCCATTATGTCACAATAGCTCAGTGGAGTCCCTTTGAGTACAATTTTAATGTTCAATCAATTAAGTGGAGTGAAGTAGTGGAGCAAATAGATTATCTTATTGTCTCAAAGCAGCACACCTCTAGATTTATACATCTTTATGAAGTGTTTTATAAATATATTACTATTGTCAAATAAGTTGATTGAAGTACACCTAAGATGTTAACTATTCATAGAGTTCACCTATAATGTATGACATTTTGCCAAAATAACCCTTATTCTAATATAAAATATGTAGAAGTATGGTGATGAAAATAATAGATTGAGTCAAAATTGTCTTTAACATAAAAAATGACATCTATATCTATAAATGACTTAAACACTTGATGAATGTGTTGTTATGACATCTGGAGGTGTGCAGTTTTAATAAAACTGCATTTGCTCAATTGTTTTTAATATTTATTTTGAACTCTTGTTGAATTATATCATGGTTTTATTTCTTTATTTGTTTGTGTTTTATCTTAAAGATTTCATTGATAATCTTGTCATTTGTTCAATATATTTTAATGATCTGAAACTTTTATTTTATCTGCAATTTATTTTGTCATAGATTCAGCAAAAAACGTTTTTTCCATACCCTTCTTATTCATATATTCATCAGATAATCTTTAAATGAATTATAGATTTTATATGATATATATTTTGAAAAAAAGCCATTTTGTTTTTTTGCTCTAGCATCAACACTAGTCTGGCAGTAGTACATATTGTTCCACCTTTTCTGAATTAATTAATTAAATTTACATTCTTTCTCCGCTGTATTAGTATCATTAGTAAACAATAGAGTTGTACAGCATTCTCCTGTACAAAGGATGACTATTTGGACAAGTGGCTGGTGAGGGGGAAAACATTTTGCAGGAATGATAAATCCAAATATACATTACTTTGTACAGACAATGCTTGTGGGTTTAACATGCTTAGATTAATGTGATAGAAGATAATTTGATTCTTGAAATATAATTGTGATAATTTATTGTTGATAGTTTTGGAAAGTATTGATAGACTAGAGTTGTTATGCTTAATTGCTGCTGTAAAATAAAATACAAAAACAAACCAACTTGCTTTTTTTTTATAATTTTTGTACATATTGATTTTGGTCCCTTGTGACAATATTCTAAAAACGATAAAAGCTTTCATTGATGGAAGAGCAATATAGCATTGAAAATAGGTTTTGTAAAAATGTGATGAACACGTCACACAATGGTAGGGATCAGTGAGAGGAAGTGCAGTGTCCAACTCTATGAATTATCTCCTTTTGTAATACTTAGTAATGATGGTTACACATTGCTTACACAGCCTATATTTATGTCTTTCCCATTTAGTATGAATAAACCATTTGTTCCTCTTCTAACTTTGGATTGGGAAAGGATCACTGGTGCTTAAAATATAATTTTACATCATGTGCAAATGTTAAGTTTCGGTAGATTTCAATATGGATACGCAAGTTGTGCGCCACAACGTGACGTTTCTAAAGCTTGCAACCGGATTTTGTATAAAATTTCTCAGAAATTCATAAAAATCTCATTTATTGTCATTTGATCTTTTTAACCATTTACAGTACTACCAAAATGGAACAAGGGTTTATTCGAAACCATAGAAAAAATACATCGAGAATGTCTAGTTGAACAAAATATATAACAATTTCGAGTATGTTTATGATCGCGTGGCAAAATAGAGAGAAATAGAATCCATAAAGGAAGTCAAAAACGGCAACATTGAAAATATTGGAGGCTCAGATTGATTGAGCCTGTTCATGGACAGTACTGGAGAGTGCAAGCTACTGTCCACGCCCCCCTAGCACCAGCTTAATCAGTATTCAACATTTAAACATGTAATGGTAAATATTGAATTTTGATACATCCGCCCAAGTAAAGAAATTCTTGTGCACTTAACGAGAAAAGAATGGGCGGAACATAACAAAATGGAATTTTGAAAGGGGATCAGAGGTTATGCAACCTGCATATCACAGATAAGCGGCAAAAAGACCAATTTGAAAAGCAGGCCACATATCCTAAGGGTGACAGTATTCAAGTAAAGAATACTGGAACCACTCAAGCAGAAAAAGCCAAATTGATAGAAAAAGCCAAATTGATTTAACTAAAATACCACAAACACTACAATGATGTCATGTTGAATGATCTTTAAGGATCGGGAATATAACATCCCTAATTGCATGTACGGGGCGACTTTTTACGGCTTCCACACGGAACAAACAATGCTTGTGACAATAAATTAAAGAGAAAATCTCTAAAGAAAGTTCAAAACGGCAAATTGAAAATGTTGAAACCATCGCTGTGATATGGGAACACAAAAGATGGCCAGCCTTTAAATTAATTGTTCCTGGAGTGGCAGACTCATTGTTATAATTTCTTTCATTGATTGGCATCCCCCTCACCACATACAGATATAAACACCATTTGAACACCATTTGAAAGTCAAGTATAGAATATGGTTTCGTTAGATGTATTCATACAGTATCCGTTTTGGTAATATTAAGCGTCTAATTAATTCAGTGTTAGTTCTACAGTTTTCTCTTAGCATCGTCCTAAAGAAGTAACAATTTTTTGACGAAAAAAATAAATTGCTTTTCAGAGAAGCAGGATTTACTGATATATTCAAACAATTTCCAAATGATTAAACTTGCTTTTGAATTCATCAATCTAAATACCAAACCGTTTAAACAGACCTTTATAAACTGTGACACATGACCTGGCAGAACTGCGACATTTTCTAAGACGTCGTAGGCTTCGATAAACTTTCATATTTAACGATCTTTACCGATCTGCGACAAAAATAGCCTACGCCGTGTTGTAGAACGCTGATAAAGCGGTCTCCTGCTGCACAAAGTCACAACTAAACTGTGTTAGCTATAATATCTTTGCTCCCTAAGATTAACCCATTACAATTTTTTTAAACTTTGAACGATACAATGAGTTCTAAAATGTATTAGATTTTGACTACTTACTGTTCGAAGATTGCTTTCTCTTTTCGATCTTTATTTTCATTTTTACAGTTATTGACTAGTATTATCTTAAATAATTTTATTTTATACATACATATAGTGTAAACAGATAATATACGCAAACATAGCCTAACATACTAGTATATACATTTTGTACATTGATATTGTTTTTTTTTTATAAATTTTATAAGATGCTTTATACTTTCTATGTATCAAGATTTTTCCTTGACGGGCAGCATTTTACTCAGCCATTTATCAATATCAGTCATAAAGATTATCAAAAAATGATAAACAAATTATTTACATGCTAGAAAATAGTACATTGCACTTTCTTTAAAAGAATACACGTTCCATTTTTTTATGATACATTGAAAGTTTTAACATTCGCTTCTGAACGTAGTTTTTCCTGAATACATATACATGTACGTTGATCCGCTGATGAATTTGTTAGTGTAATTTCTGTTCGTATTTATAAGTGAAAGAGAAGTATTCTGTTGAAGTGGGTGGTGCACTTGTATAAAACGTAATTAATAAAAGTATAATTTATTCAACATTATAAAGTTATGATATGTGCACTTTGTCTTGTAATCTGTTGAGTGTTGTGGTGTCACCATACACACGCATTCTTAGTTCTGAAATATTATAAAAAGATGTACGCATTGAACAAATTTACTCAGATTCCTATATATCACTTTTAAAAAAAATTCTATAGGTTTCTTTAAATATCAAGTGTACTTAACTTATGCGATTGAAAAGAAAGAAAGAATTATAATGTCAAAGAATAAAAGAATGGTAATTATGTGTTCACGACATTAAATCTATTTCTGTCGTAAATTAAACAAATGTTATATATTGACTACCCACCTTTATGGACATTGAGATCTATCCGAACACGGGGCTGACCTTTGGTCATTTGGTGTCTTCTGTTGCTGATCTTTGGTCAGTGGAACCGAAACAGTTTTATTCTGGAAATATACATGATATATTCGCTACAATTCTGTTGCTGATTAGTCTGTTTTCCTTAAGAAACATTTGTTTCAAGTTAAAACCTCTTTATTTTCGGGATAAATTTGTTTGAATAATACATTGTTTAGGATTATCGATTCATTTTCCCTTTATTCTTTGCATGTTAGATATTTACATCTTCCAAAACGATTGTTTTTAACAAACATATAAGATGCCGTTGATTGCTTTCACTTTCCCACAAATATTTACCAGTATATGATTAGGCGATATTATTCCGTTTATGTGTGCGGTGTTGTTGTCATCATTTATTTCTATGTGTATATCAACTTCCTCAGACGATTCTACCTTCTCAGCTGATTTCGTCACGTGCAAACCAATCGACAGACCCACAACCAACGCAATTAGCAGGAACAGAACCTAAAACATATGTATCACTAAAACCATTAAAGTTAGTTGTGTATCAAAACTGAGTACAAGTGTTTTTCTTGTATACTTTGTATATCTGTAACTATTTTCAAAATATAATTATTAGTATTTTGTTTGGTTTTAAATAACAAATAGAAACATTTGTTGCAAGAACAGAATTAGCATTTACAAGAGCGTGACAAAGGTAATTTTTGAATTGACTATTTCACAAAAAAGTCTTCATTTTATAAATAATCTGCAATGTGAAGAGCAAATAACTCTATGACAGTAAGCGTACTGTATACGTTACAACATGCTTTCATATACATGTATGATATGCATGTACTTCAAACCAAATATGCATCTAATTGATGAAAATATGGTAAAATGGGGAACCCTCGGAAGCATTAACAACAAAATAACATAAAAATTGCAGACACGGTTTGATTAGGGATAATGAAAAAGTGCAACATTCCTTACGCTCCCCAGCACCGGCTTGAGCGGTTCTCAATTTTAAACACATATAAGACTGTCTTATTAATTAATGTGCGGAAACAAATTGTATACAGACAGACGAATGGACGGTAACAGTATTATCATGAGATGTTTTAAAATACTGAGGACCTCAGTTCTACTTTAATAGTACATGTATATATTGATGGATACACAATTGTAAAAACAGAAATGCGCTTTAACTCAGATAATAGACAAAATTTTAAAAAAAGTAAAACAATTCTCACCACTCCAGTTGTTATATATTTTGAGCGTTTCTGTCTGAGGGTTTTGTCAGCACACTTCCTTTTGTATTTTGTGAACAGCTACAAAAAGATGAAACACAGCTTTGTAATTTCTGCCTTAAACGAAAGCTAACTGTGTCAGTTCGAAATACATGTACAACAGTAGTACTGTTTATATTATTCATGCTATGAACTAACGATTAATTAATTTTTTTTTAAATTGACCAATTTATAATTTCTTTACTAATAGTTTTCAAATGCACTTACTAAGGACAGCAACAACGCAGAAGGATAAAGACATTTTTTAAAATCCCCACCGACTTGATTTTATGTAAAAATAAAAAATGAAATAAAATAATATTTCAATTGATCTGCAGCTTTATTTAAAGAAAGTGACCCCAGTATACGTATCTATTTATTCTACGGTAAGTCTTTCAAGCTTTCGACAAGGAATCATGTAAATAGCCCATTTTATTACCCTTCCAGATTTTTTCCACCTTTTTGATTGGATATTGATCATCCGAAAGAAATTGATATAACCGAGCCAGACGGGTAATATACACACTAAATTTACCCGTTTGGTACCCAACGTTGTAAACAACATGCGCTGAGGTGATGCGCGTACGGTTCGATTTTACGCGGTGTAAATTCCGATTTAAAAGCACTTTTTAACTGTCAAATCATCAATATTTACCAAAGTAGAGTAATGATACATATTACCATCAGTATCGAAAACAAATATGACCTTGTGAAAGCTTGATATTAATTACAAAAAAGTGCGTTCAATAGACTACTCCTTTTCTCTTGTTTACTTTCGTAAGGTACGGGAAAAATACGTCATGTATTTATGTGACGTCATGTTGTGACGAAGAGGTATCCTAAAGGGAATCTTTTTTCGACGTTTCATTTGAAACAGCAATGATTTTTTTAAAAATCGTCTAAACTCGGCAGGGGAAGGGTAATAAAATTATTATTTTGGTTTTGGAGTGATATATGTGGATATATTACCTGCCAAGATAAAATATCACCCTCGCCTAACGGCTCGGGTGATATAAAATCTTAACAGGTAATATATCCACATATATCACTCCAAAACCAAAATAACATATAATATTTCAGCTTGGGTATTAGAAAATATCACCATAAATACATCATACCATGTTTGCTAGAATATTAGTTACATTAATATTTATCATAGAATACCAATAACGTTTAGGTATAGTGTATCAACATAAGCATGCCAATGTAAACCATGGCTATGTAACTAATTTAATACTTATACATTAAATAAGCATTGACTATATTATCTTTTACGATGACATATATTGCAAGTCACGTAAAGTTCTACTTTTAATATCATTTATACACCAGAAGTTTAGTTCTTGTACTAACAACACCCGTAGTCTATAAATATTAGGTAACTTAAAATGCGCACTTTCTCTTTGACGGAAAGTAATTATACTTATAATAATGTAATTATACTTACATCTTCATGTGAACCCACAAAAGAGAAGTTCTCATACTTTGGACTCTACATATAGAAACAAAAATTGATTTACTTCATGAAACTTTTCAATTTTTTAAACAGAATCTGATATAACATCTTCAAATTAAAGCCAATTATACGTATATGTTTCTGTCATCTTTAAACTGAAAAATTGGTTTGAGTTCAATATAAAAAAATAAAAACAATTGCTATCTATTTTGTCACGCTTTAAAATCCGTTTAAAACATCGATACATCAATACGTCATGAGATAGAAAATAAAAAGTTTTATTTTTATTGTTATAATTAAAAATTGCTATTACTTTAAAAAAAATGAGCAGCATCCTGCAGATCAATTTCGCATTTTTATATTTTACGAATATAACTATTGTCTGTATCTTAAAGATTTTTCTTCCTGACGATTATGTCTGTTTATATATATTTTTTATTATTTTTACGCCGATCTTAAAACATGTTTTTGGTCACATCTCGCCGGTCGAGCTACCTAGCTGGCTTTCCTGGATAACTAACCGGTAATTTACCAGTTTCTCCGCAAGTAACCAACTACAAATCCCACATAATTTCTGAATCAGCGGTGTAGAGACATTTCGCCTGTCCCGAAGATCGAACTTGCGACCGCTCTATGACTACCCGATGCTTTCTATATATATATATATTGTGCTAGACGAGCAGACTGAATGTTATATGAAGGAATCAATTATAATGGTGTAATAATACTAATTAAGACAATTCTGAAAATAATTCATGAAAATAACTTTAAACATTTGTATCATTTCATATTCTAAATTAACGCTCAAAGTTGTCATCATCTATATAGATAAAGTGTTTTGCTATATTAAAGTATAAGAAAAAAAATAGATATAATAAATCAACTTACAATAGCCATGTTTTACAGGTATGTCCTCATACAGATTGTATGCATTTTAACTGTATGATACTCTGTCTCTTATGAATAATATTTTCATTGATAACCATTTAAAATAGTTTCATGACATACTTATCACACTAAGGACAACAAGGTTATCTTAGATTCTTTAATCTGTTTAATTTTCATGTCCACATTCACAATGACCGTTGACACATATTTTCATATCCAACATATACAATATTTACCTATAAAGTGACTAATACAATACTGATAGCTTACTATTTTTATTTGTTTAAAACATATTAAACTACTATATGGTTCACTATCTAAATAAAGAAACAACTATATCATCGATGTAAATGGTCATGTCGAAAGAAATGTATAAACATAAGACAAAATAAGAAAAAGTAGAAAATACTGTCAACTAAAATATTAAGTAAGGTAACTATTTAACGTGATAGCTTTTGGCTGTTTAACTCTTAAAACAACAATCTTATTTAACATTAATGTCACAATTATAACAGGAATCAACTGTAGCGAAACTTATATTAATGTAACCTCAAAAACAAATATTAAACATCAAAACGATGCAATGCATTTAGTTTGTTCGCGGGTAACCTGACAAATCGACGCCTTACTGCATGCTCACTAAATTATGAAACATAAGAAATGATCAGGAAATTGTCAAACGAAGTAAGAGGTAGCAAAACTTGTTCATGGAAAATGAATAAGGAACAAATGAAGTATGAAATAAGAACATGATAAAAGAGACATAACAACATCTTAATTTTGATGCATATTGCTATTTCAAAGGGTCTTTTTATGAAACACAGACTTGTACCAAAACACATAATCTTTTGTTTTGAACACTTTTATTGTAACTATTTTTTTTTCGCTACTATGTAAAAGTAAGAGGTAACGAAGTTTTCAATCGTATAGCAACATCAGAAGGTAATGATGACAACAGGTCAAGTCCAGAAAGTATCTCAACATCTCGCATACGTGCTTCATTTTCTCTCAAGAACGTATCAACATCCTGTAAAAGAAAAACGTTTGATTTTACTGTCTTATATCGATAAGTAAAGACATTATTAGTAAAAGGTATTTCAAAGCAAAATTCTAAAACAATAACGTTTTTTTTTACAAGAGAATTTAGATACAAACAAATCATTTGAAATAAACATCCAATACTAAACTCTGCGGACGCATTGAAACAATAAAGTTACATGTAAATGAAAATTGCAGACCCAGTTGATTGGGTATGTACTTATCGATATTGAAAAAGTGCGATGATCTCGTAAGTCCCCTATTACCGGCTTAAGCGGTACTCAATTTTCAACACTTAATGTATGAAAAAGGACCAGAAAAAAATAATATTACAAGCCAATTACCTACCTTACACATTTTGAGATATTCGAGGTGGGGAATGATATAAGATTCGACATGGTATTTCTCACAATGATCAACGGTCATAGTATGATCTTGACAATTTGTCAACACGATAAAGAAATGACTCGGAAGACTTTTGTTACTGAAAGAAAAAAATATACACGACTGTAAACATTTAATGTACCTACTATAGTATATTTGCTTGACCTAAACAATACATAAAATGTACCTATTATAGTATAAGACGCAATGCAAAAAATGCGTTTGTTTAGATTCCATATAATATACAAAACAAAACAGAACTAACCTAATATAGATGTTATCATCCGGTAAACTGTCATGATTGTCGTCAAATAGTGGTCCCAGCAGAATGTTCACACTCCTAGTTTTCGATATCTTCTCACTGATAAATTTCACGACTGGTTTCCAAATATCTAAAATAATGATATTTGACATATACATGTCAATTTTATCAAAGAAAAAGTGACATATTTTACATTTTAAGGGCATAACTTTCTCTTAACATTTTTTGCGTAAGGTTTGTTTGACAGGCCTTTTTGTTTTGCAACCATCAATGCAATCTTTTGTTCTTGTCGTACCAAAGGGCTCACATATTTTATGCTTTTTATAAGAGAATTCAAGCATCAGCAAAACTGAGCCTTTTTAAATATATTTACAAGCTAGATATTAATTCAATCACTTTATTACAATAATTTTATATCCATAACTTGTAAACGTGTGTGCTACTTACTCGTATAAAAGGAAGACTTCATCCAGGTCAGACCTGACGTAAGCATGGAAGAACTTTGACGTGCAGTCTGGAAATAGTCTGGAATAGAAATAGAGTTCAATCTTAAAAAGCCCTTCATACACAAACATTTTCATAAAATTATAGTCCATTGTATTCAAACATTTGCTATCGTGTGATTTTAGTAGAATCTACGTGTCTCTATAATGACATATATAAAGTAATGAGGACATTATTTTCTTTTCAAAAGAATCTTATTTGTCAATCAAAGTAATGTAAGCTATTTCCTATAATAAACAATTTGTTATGGTACCATTCAACGGCGTGTGCATGACATCTACCCCAGGATCACATATAAAATATTCTTTTTCTATTCTTGGATCTGGGAGATAACATCTTGTTACTTCCGGTGGCACCTAAAGTACAAATAAGATACCAACAAATAGTGTACAGAACAGAAAAGAGATACTGTTCTTTTTTACTTGAAAAGAACAAAATGTATTGGACAAAGGATTTACAGACATTGTGTTACTTATTTACAAGATGTGCACCTAATGTAAACAAAATTATTACCGAAATTTACTTATCTCCTTCACGAGATATAAAGAGTTATTTTAAAAACGATGGTTACCGTAAGGTGGGTTCCATTAAATGTCTGGGAAATCCATACAGGAGTGTTCAGATAATCATCAAAGGCCAACGCAAAACCTTCTTGATATAGTAATGTTACGTTTCTCAAATGGAACACTGGTGTTTTTAACTTTGGTTGACCAAATGGTAGATGAATACTATTTTCTTGTATTTCGGATACGGTCTTAAATATCATAGTCATCTGTAAAATAAAGAAATATTATTATGTTAAATATCAATCTGGCTTACAATAAAGACAATAAATTAATGAGCAAATTGATGACTATACATTATTTTTTTAGTAATTTTAATCTTACAAATACAAATACTTAAAACACTTCTCACCTCTGTTTCAGAAAAGTGTTTACAGTCACCGCCACATGGATTCGACTGAACGAATGAAACAAATTCCCCTGCGTCTTTATAACGTAATGTTGAGCTATGATAATCGTCATTTTGCTGTTCTTCGTTTGAAAGATAACGTGTTTCCTTCAATATATGGTTCAGAGATCCCTTAGTACCATTGTTAGGCGCAGCAGTGATATTTAATATATCTGTAGATGCATAAAAGAACAGATAATACATTTATTATTATTATATAATAACTAGCAAAGCTTTTTTAGCTGATTGTTTATGAAATGTTTTAAATAGTGAAGCCTTTGTTACTATTTCGGCTGTATTCAATTTTGTTTGCTTCTTGTATTTGTATCAACCCCAAAAGACATGAAAACAATCCAACATTATTTAATAACCGTTTCAATATTACAATACACTCAATTAGATTCTTGGTAAAATTAAATATCTAAATATTTGAAATGCATTCTGATATCATATTCAGAAAATAAAATTGAAGCTTTAAATCTTGATAAACTGTAAATACCATAAACATGAATGGTCAAAATAATAAAGGTAAAAGAAATATAGGCTCAAATAATGAGGACATACACATTTGTAAACTATTTTCTATATAATTCTAGTAATAAGAGTATAATGTTACCAGTAAACATGTTGTACAGTTCAATGTTTTCAAATGGTTCGATAGTCTTATTCCATTTGAAAGCAGGACCATAAGCGAGAAACAATGCCTGTTAATATAAATTTAAACATTTTCAATGTTAGTTATTATCTTTTTTCAATGTTAGTTATTATCTTTTTTCAATGTTAGTTATTATCTTTTTTCAATGTTAGTTATTATCTTAATCGATTCAAATACATGTATAAGACATTTCAAACAATTTCTTCTGTGCTGTGAACAATCTAAAATGTAACTTAGGCCTACAATATAGAAAAGTATTACCAGCCATTTTTATTATTTGACGCAATCATTGTTTCACTTTTTTACTAAATATAGATTTACGGTTATGCCTTATCTTACTTTTATCTTAAACTTTAAGGAACTCATTAATGGAGAAGTGAATTTTTAAATAGTGTTATAAAATGAGTTTTATAATAAGATATACCTCCATACTCTTGTAGATGTTGTCATAGCCATGATTTCCACCCCGACAATTGTTTATCCAGTTTCTTAAAAAGATATTGATACATTCAAGTCGAAACAGAAATAGAAAAAAAAACTTAAAAAGTAATCAACAAGATAAATGATTACACGACGTCTTAACTTAAAATGAAAAAGAATACGAAATAAAACAACAATTCATTCGGAACAATTAATCAAAGCACTGAATGTACTGATGGGGAGGCTATGAGAGAATGTTTCAGACTTATAGTTTCTTTTCTTTTTGCTTAAAATATGCTACCAAAATAAAAAGATATGCACATTGCGCTATTTATCCTTACTGTTGTGTTCAACCATTCATATATATGGTTAATGAGGTTGACTATTCATTTTGTTAATATTCCAGAACATTTAATTAAGGTCTACATTCGGACTGTTAATCATGCAAATTTTGAAAAACCTAAACTGTCAATAATAAATGACATACCAGCAAGTATGACGACTGTTCATTATCAGATAACAATAACATTTTACAACTGACGGTTCCTTATCAAAATATTCTAGGACTGTTCATCATAAATATTTTATGTCATTTTAATATTATTGAATGATAATAACAACTGCACGTGATGCAACATTTTTATTGAACATAAAAATTATACACGTTTAGATGTACCATAATTGAGACCAATAAGATACTGTCTTGTGATGAGTATTAACATTCATGCTCTACGGACAGAAGGTTGTCTTCTTCAGAAGCAAATCTCGAATAAAATCACGTTTCAGAAAATTAATCCCATTTCATTACTGACGGCGTCGGATAATATTAAAGCTAAATATTTCTTGAAAAAATACATCTCTGCAAAGCTTATTCAAAACTGAATCAACCTTTAGAAGTGAAAATTGATCAGGAAGTTATATCTTCTTTTTTTACCGCCAACACTCAACACTCAACCAACTTATGGTAGTTAATCGATAGATTCTACGTGTATTTTTAAACCTCACTAGCTTGAAATATATACTGCGGAAAATCTGTTGTTAACAGGGTGTGCGGTTATTACGTAGGGTTTTCCCTGTCGACCATTTCCCGCAAATAGATGAGAACATCGAAGCCGTCAGTGCTATGAATGGTGTTATAAATGGCGTGTTTTGGAAGTTTTTGTTGAAACTACTCCAAATACCTCCAGAGGCGTGCACGTCGCGGAGAAGGCACACGGAAGGTCATAGTCAAGTCATCATAAGTACCAGAGGTGATTGGTTGACCTGTGGTGACTTACTCTGGAGGTTTGGCGCTAATAGATGCCGTTTTTGTTGTCGTCAGTCAGAAAGTTGATGCCTTGACGGTATTGTCGTCTCCTTTACCACCAAAGAACGAAGAATGGGCTTCCAGGAAGAATCTGCTTGAAAAAGACGTCCCAGATGCTATAATCTCGGACATATGGTTATTCCGGCGCCGAGTATAAATAAACTTAAAACACACACACTTTTGTTGAAAACAAAACAACATCACATTTTCTGTAGTAATTTTTCAAGTGTTGTAAAATGAATAAGAAATTCCTCTTATGCCGCCCATTATTTTTAGAACACAACCATAAAAGTTTTTTTTTTTTATTTTTCAAATAAACATTTATCACTTCAGCGCGAGCAAATATCGGTTTCAAATTAAAGTTTCGTAAGATATGTTAATGACTTCCCGATGCTCGACTGTAAGTAATTTGTATATGTATGTTTTTTTTTTTTTTTTTTTTTTTTTTTTTTTGTTTTTGTTTTTTAATTAAAGCTTCTTATTCTTTAATATTTTTTATGTATCTCATAATCTGTATTGAAAATTTGAATTTTATTACAAATGGACTATCAAATTATGATGTATGCCCTAGAATTGAATAAACTTTCTAATTACACAATACGGGGTCATACTGATCTTTGCGTCTTTCTCTGAAATACTTATTTCCTTGTTAAAACATATTTGACCACATATTTCTGTCATTTAACTGTTCACTTTACTTCTGATTTTTGTTGTACGGAAACACATGTTTCTATTTGTGTTTTCTAATCAATTCGAATCTATAATCAGTTTAATGGGATCACCACCGGGTAAACGACTACTAGGTACTTTGGTCATGTTTTTTACCACAAATATTTGAATGTTTCTATTGGGATTAAAATGAGCATAGTTAACTAAACAACTGTTTGTATAAATTCCTGACCTGTCTAATTCTAATTATGAGATTAGTGAATATATAAGACTTTCACTACAAAATATTCCTAAACAAAAGAGCACATGTTTAAATTTATTCCTATACAAATAAAAGATCAGAGTAGGGATCTGTCAATTACCAAAGATACTTTTATGTTAAAAGTTTGATTAATGAATTATGTAAGATGAAAATATAAGTATTGCTTTTTTTTATTTTGCTAATGTAAACTGTAATATTGTGCTGGGATTTTGTCGGAGGTCCTTAGGGGTTTTGTAGTTAAATAGTTTTTTTTTCGGCGATAATGGTTAAAGAATAAAATGTTTTTAAACTATATGTTCATCACCATCAGTGAATTTTTAGTTAAATGTATGCAAAATATTTACTAAACAGCTATATGATTTAGCGGTTTATGAGCGTTTTCCGCGTACAGCCTCCTGGGGTGTACAAATAAGTTAGTTTTCCTTAGTTATCTATATACTATAACATATACTATTTTCCTTAGTTATCTATATATACTATAAATGTCTCTGATGTAAGCGACAGTTTACAATTATTTGTCTTTAAAAAATATTAAGGACTATTAATAGTTTATAACAACAAAAGCACATGCATGATATTGAGAATACGTAGTTGCAACGTTCTAGTTAATGACCCGTCATAAACAGTTGGTCGCTGCGTAGTAATTGGAAAATTGTTATCAAAAATAATAAAGAATATTTGCCACTGAATTAAAGCATTTACTTATAAATTTTCATTTATGCTTTTTGTTAAAAAAATATGGATAAAGTTATTATTTTGAAGGGTTTTCATACCAGAACTATTTAATACAGACGTACGTAATATGCCTAAACCTGATTACCGCGGCAGTATGACGTCACGGAGTAGTGATTTAAACAAAAATCAAGAATTTTTCAGAGAATTATTATCTTTACAAATTGCAGATATGAAATTAAAGAATGAAAATATTTTCATATTGTAAATGTCTGTGATGAGTGATGAGTCAGCTTAGAAAAAATCAAGGTACTATTTTTTGACCTGATTACCGTGGCAGTATGACGTCACGGAGTAGTGATTTAAACAAAAATCAAGAATTTTTCAGAGAATTATTATCTTTACAAATTGCAGATATGAAATTAAAGAATGAAAATATTTTCATATTGTAAATGTCTGTGATGAGTGATGAGTCAGCTTAGAAAAAATCAAGGTACTATTTTTTGACCTGATTACCGCGGCAGTAAGATTTGACAGACAGTTATTAACATTGGGTCGGCATAGCCTCCCCAAAAACTGCTCTTTAATAGACAACCTACCGTGTGACAAGCCATCCCGATTCAATATCTAGTATTGTGTCGTCAATTCTTGCGTTGTTTGTATAATGATGACGTACAGGAAGTGAAGTTTTCTGGAACACATTCATGTGAGGACTTGCACATGTCAAGTTTGAAAGAAGAGCATCATATGGTTCTAAAACATGAAGAAGGATGACAGTGATAAAAACGACATAGTATGATGTTATTCAATAATAACTTCAAATGATGTGTAACAGATTGGTATCATTTAATTAATTATAATGCAGAATTCAACACACCATGCCAACATGGGAAAGCAAACCAGCAAAATGAAACAAAACATAAACTTTGTGGCGGCATGGCCGAGTGGTTAACGCTTCAGACTAATAATATTATGTTCGCTAGCCGCATGGGTTCAAACCCTGACAGGGGCAAGTCGTTGTTTCCTTGAGCAAGAAACTTTACACTCATTGCTCAGTACTGGTTGGTTCCAGGAACGGATTTGACAGTGTGTTTATAAGCTAATAGCTTCCTACACAATCGAACTAAAATAAATTCTGTGTAAACCAAAACATAAACTGAAACATGCTGAAGTTTAATTTTAGCATAATAAAATTCAAGATTTTAGTAGGATGTTTTTGAACCTGGGTTGTCTGTAGGCCATACGTCTTTAACGGTTGAGTTATAGCGGTAGTCATTGGCAATCCTACCAAAAGGACCTTCCCAAACATAAAAATGTCCGCTTAAATAATCTTTGTCAACGTAATGACTCAGGCGTACAATCTTACTACAACTTACATCGTCCATTCCTGTTTGCAAAACAAAACAAACAAAAAAACATCGATTAAATGTGTGCATTATCACAAATTATCAATTATGTGTAAGTAAGCAAAGCAAATATGTATTTTTTAAAATCATTTTTAAATTCTTTTATGTAACAGTTAAGGGTTATAAGACAACATGTTTTGGGATCTCAAAGTAAAACTTAAACTCGTGTTGCATTGATTTTGTTTGTTTCATGTCAAAATTAAATGATCATTTAGATATGAAATGTTCCTAATTATAGACAAGTTTAAAAACTTATGAGTATTCTCGTTGTATTTAATTAATTTGCTTATGTCTTGATAATTTCATAATGACTGATCTTACCATGGTCAGCGATGATAATTATATTGACACAATGGTGTAGCTTTTTATTAAATAAACCATCCATTAGCTGTTCAATTGTCTCATCTACTCTCTCTAAAGTTGCACCTATCTAAATATACCAGTAACAAAATTAATTAACATTTTATATATGTCTTAAATGTTACATGTGACTCGTCCTTTATAAAGGGTCGAGTTAAAGAGACCGTCTATTGTTCTATACAAAGAAATTTCATTTAAACATGAAGACAAAGTAATCAAAATTCAAAAAGTTATTAGCTAAATACCAGAAGAAACGAATGATCACACATATAGGCAATAAGGAAAGAGTATTCTCACAACTCGTTAGATTAAATTTGATATTTAAATGACAATCATATTCCTGTGTTTTTATGTCTAGTCGTTAATGACCTCATAATTTTACAATGGGACTTTTCGCAATAAACCAATATAACTTTGATCGTTTAACAACTGATTTATGTAACAATAAGCCCGAACAAGTGTTTAATGGTAGTAATGACGTACAGTCTATCTCTTATCCATTTGTTTACAACGCCTGAATGATGAACAGCCTATTTACATATAATTCCAATGTCATTTGTGAATTACTCATCTATCCATTTTCAAACAAACTTTTCCTTTTAGTACAACAAATTTAATTTTGAATTTAATAACATCCGAATGAAATTGACATAAAGTCTGGCTAACTAAATTGGCAATTTCGTCAAGAAAAAAAAAACATGGGAGGGCAAGATGAAGAAATTCTACAATTCCAAGCAAACTTACGTAGGATTAATGAAGGATACGTCATGTTTATTCTATGTACTGTTGGAGTAATGGGAAACATTTTAGCATTTTTGACATTTTCATCAAAACTTGTTAGAAACACGACTACATCCCTGTATCTGAGGGCATTGGCGATAGCGGATATAATTGTGCTTACGACAGCGGTGTTCAGATACAAAACATACAAATTATTCCTCGACGAGAGTCACGAGTTAGATACAGTGTTTCATTTTGATGCATATAGTGAAGTATACATTGAGCCACTTCATTGGATAGCTCTAGGTTCGTCAAGCTTCATCACAATAGCTCTATCATTTGAACGATACCTAGCAGTTAGGTTTCCATTGATCATTAAACGTAAATGTACTACGTGCACGGTAATGCTGTGTATCTTTCTTGTCGTTGGAATCAGTGTCGTGATTAGTATCCCGAACTACTTTTCATACAAACTAGTACACTTCAACTTCTTTGGAGAAGAGATTGCTGTAGCGACATTAACAGACATGGGAAAATCAAGTCTATATCCGTGCATTTATCATAATTATTTGATTCCTGTTTTGTGGTATATCATTCCGGCAGCACTTCTTTCTGTGATTAATATTTTATTGATATTTCTTGTTCAAAAGTCATCAAGGATTCGCGTCGGTGTCCCAAATACGTTGAATTCAAATAGAAAACTAACAGTTATGATTATATTCATTTTGTTAGTTTATATCATATGTAACCTGCCGAAATGTATATTCATGTTCTATAAGATTGTTAATCAGATGACAAACAAGAACGAATGTACGGATATCACGAACAAAATAGATGCTCCACAAACGAAGGCATATCTCATTATAGAAGTTATTACGGAACTTCTTAATGTTCTGAACAGTTGTTTGAATTTCTGTGTGTATTGTTTAGTCGGTACTAGATTCAGGACTGAGCTTGTACGTATATTACTGTGTAGATGGATGACACGACAGGACTTAGTACTAATAAATGGGAGTTATCAAACATCCAGCATACGACGAGGAGCTACCTCATAATTCAAATGACTTTAAAACAAGCTCATATAGATTATTTTTTGGTATCTTATTTAACATGGAAGTTATGTCATTACAATTATACCTTGGTTTAACATTTTTTGTTATTTTATCACCACCGGAATAAAGGTATCATAACACGGCATGTTGTTTTTTGTATGTGAAAGCATAATAAGTGCAAAGAGATGCTATAAATAAGTCATAATTTCACTATGTATTATAAAGATTGTTCTTATGAACTTTTATATCTTATTATCTTATTATTACCTTTATTTACCGTAATGTATAAATAATTCCACTGTACGTATGTATAAGCATTCTAAATGTAAGTAAAAATATACAACTAATTTTGTGTTATATATTGTGTAAAAGAACTTCAAACAATAGTTCTTACCTCCGCCTCGTCGCTAGGACCATGTTTATGCCCGGCTAAATCTGGTTCATCAAAATACAGAGTGATAAAATCCGGCCGTTCTCCTTCAGGGAGAGACATCCAAGAAATTACATCACGAACCCGAGAAGAATAAGGTATTGATCTGGAATTGTTAAGACATGAGACAATATGACAAATGCTGATTTAAAATGAAACAATGAAGTTTATCCCAATTAGTTAAACGATTGCCTAGCAGTTTTTATCTATGTACAACTATATTTGTTTGATTAATTATCAAATTTTTGAGTTTCTCTTCTTCGACCAAAATGTTAAACTGGTATGCATTGTATCAAATGTCCCTACTTGCACTGAATTTGTTGTAGAGACAAATATTTTTATGAGTGTAGGAAATAGAGTTGGATATCTTACCCATCATATTTCTTAAAGATATCAGGATATTCTCCTGAAACGGAAAAATATTCATCTTGATTCATTTATATAATCAAAATACTAAACATAATGTTATACTACTGTTTAAATTACTCGAAAACATTTCATTTCATAAACGTGAAGATATTTGAGCCGTGTCATGACAAAACCAACATAGTGCATTTGCGACCAGCATGGACCCAGACCAGCCTGCGCATCCGCGCAGTCTGATCAGGATCCATGCTGTTCGCTATCAGTTTCTCTACTGGTTATAGGGTTTGTAAGCGAACAGCATGGATCCTGATCAGACTGCGCGGATGCGCAGGCTGGTCTGGATCCATGCTGGTCGCAAACCCATTATGTTGGTTTTGTCGTGACACTGCTCATTTCTAGTTTAAAAGCACTGTTTTGAATAACGATTGTTAACACATTAAGCATGAGATGCTTGTGTTTCAAAATAAAGCTTAAATGCCATAACAGTTATGTTTAAAATTTTTAAAAGAGGGCCATGCATAAAAAGTAACCATGCATTAATCTTGTTTCAAGAAAAATAGCATTAACTGTAAAAGAATAGGAAAAAAACTACTTATAAGCACGGATTTATATTATGTAATATAAATCCGTGTAATAAGGTAAAAATATATACACATTTATGTTATAAAAATACGAATTTCTGAGGCTTAATAATTTACCTTGAATTTTCACGTCAGATCCAGGCCAAAAGTATGTCGCCGTTTTGATTCCTTGCCGCTTGGCAGTTAACCATATCTGTAATATATTGTAATATATATGCCATGTACAGAGTACAATGTCTGCGGTTACCGCAGCGAACTATTTACCGACAGATTTAGTTTAATACATCAAATAAAGATAAATGATAATATCAAATATTCGTTAGTTACATATTACAAAAGTGATGAGAATAGCACTTATAAAATAGGTCTAAAACTATGAGACATAACATGGAGAGTATAATTAAAGAAGATCTTACTGGTTCTCCTCCCCACCATCTTGGATCACTGGATGTTTCACTTCCAAGATAGAACCTCTTCCCAATGTTTATATCATACATGTTGTTGTCAATTATACCATGTGATTCTGGATACAGTCCCTTATAAAAATAAATATTTTCATGTTATAATTTGGTGATTATCAAGTATTTGAATTATAATATGTGTATGGCAATTTTCAACAACGTGATATACATCTAGGGTGTTGTTCATACATAATTATAAAAAAACAGATGCATGTGTTTTAAAACGACATAAAAAATAAAGCTATAAAGGTAATTATGTAAATTGATAATACTTTAGATAAACATATGCTTAATATGACATATATATGCGTATCATATATGGTATGCAGTGTGATATATACAAAGATACATACTGTGACAATACTGTAGTGATTAGGGAATGTCTTAGTTGGATATACTGATCTCATATAAGGGGCATGTACACCACACTGACTCAGTCTTGATATTGTTGGGGTCATATTTCGTAACAAATAATCCGCACGGAATCCGTCCAATGATATCAGCAGTGTAGGCTTGTAACTAAAATATAACAAACACTTGTCGATTTTTTCATGAGTATTTTATATTAAATGATTAACCAGGCCCATTCTCTTTTTAATTTGAGCCGTGTCATGACAAAACCAACACAATGGGTTTGCGACCAGCATGGATCCAGACCAGCCTGCGCATACGCGCAGTATGATCAGGATCCATGCTGTTCGCTATCAGTTTCTTTACTTGTTATAGGGTTGGTAAGCGAACATCATGGATCCTGATCAGACTGCGCGGATGCGCAGGCTGGTCTGGATCCATGCTGGTCGCAAACCCATTATGCTGGTTTTGGCGTGACACGGCTCATTTATCGACGATAGTTTTTATCAAATTCTCATAGTTAAAACGTTACAAAACTTAGACTTCCATCAATGCAAGTGTAAAGACACTACAAATCATGTTATAAATGTCATCTATATTCAATTTCGACATTCTTACGGATTCTAAATGAGAAAGCTACATACTCGGATTGGCACAGGTCTTTATGAGGACATTGTTCATCTGACCATGAACGCGGCAATGAGGTGTCCCAAATATCTTCTGGGAGAAAAGTTCTTAATCTGGCAGCCGTTACAACATCAAATGACGTCATGAACTGTAAACCTGTCAGCAACTCTATGTCACGTATCCTTGCAACATTATCTTTCAAATAAATATCCGGCCTCTGAAAATTAATCTCGAAATGAGAGTGTTGCATGTTACATATAAAAATTCACGTATATATTTTATGATAGGCTTCAAACTCCTATACATATTGTCTTTGGGAATGTTTTAATTCTAGATTTATTTTTGAAAAAAAAATAACAAAGAAATCTTTTAAACGTTACAATCAATAAAGTCTTAGACAAATACATTATACTGAGTGAAATAGAACATATAAGTACCAAGCAATTTGGGGCCTCCTTCAAGTTTGGTAGTACAAATGGCAAAATATCAATATTTCCATCACATGGTAGGACTTCTCCGACTGTTTTACACTTGATAAGGATAGCGTAGATATGTGTAGGTACAGGTAAAACAGAATCTTTATCCGCATATCTATAGTAATGAGTAAACAAATGTGACACACTTTAAATGTCGAGTACATTAGTTGTGAAATTATTTACAGGTATCTTTTAAAAATGAAACGCAATATGGTCAACACATGTATTACTGAAATACTATCACTACACTGGGCGGGCAAAATCAAAAGTCAGTATTGCCCAGGTTGTCCCACAGCCTGTACGGACAAGTGAGCATTTTCAAGATTTAATTATGTAAACATCATACGGACAAGTTAAAAAAATGCATCACATAAAAACGGACAAGTAAGTCAAAATCAGATTTTGCCGGCCCTGCTACAAATGTAGACTGGTAATTAATAGAAGCAAATATGATTTTTATAGAAGTTAAGATGAAAGGATTTTCAATCCATCTTTTGTTAGAAAATGAAGACAAATATAAATTAACAACCTTGTTTCGTTAATCAACCCTTCCCATAATCCGTCATTATTGTAATCATAAATAGTTCCAACTGTTAGGCTGATTTCACCATAAAGTGACTTGTAATCCGACAGCAGCTTTAAAAGGTATGTCCATATACCTGGAAAAACAACGTTATCTAGCTATATTTATTGAAATATATGAAAAAAATCAAAATATTTAAACAGTGAAAATATGTTTCTTTAACCCTATGGTAGATAGATATTTAATACACATGAATACTGTATATAAACAAGAATTAGATATTCCAGAAAAAAAATGCAATTTAAAGGTTCACTAAGCCTCATAAATGATATCATTTTTATTTGTCAAAATCTTTTAATTTTTGGTGTCCGTTACAGTTTTCAAAACGTTACACTTTGGTCTTATTTCTGAGCCATCTTTTGTGTTTCGGTAGTTAGTACAGTTATAGTGAATTAGTATTTCGTAAAATTCCACTTTGTTTACATCTTGATTCCTTTATCACAATGTATTTTACATTCAATTTATTTTATTCAGGTGATGAGCATCTTGCATATTCTAAATCAATTTTACAACATTGTTTAACATAAATATGTATAACGGAAATATATTCATTACCTAGGCATAATGTGCGTTTAAGTCAGTTTTTTTAACGATTTAAATGTTGCTCCATTAGCTCTATAGAAAATATACAGACATGATTCTTACCTATTCTGATGTATTTCTTAGCCAAAATTCAGATAGTACAGGAATCATTCAGATATGGAGCTTTTTAAATCTAAAGTGCACTTTTATTTAATGTATAATAATTAAGCGGACACAATTTTACATGTTTTGTTTACGTTAAATGAACTATTTCAAAATTTTCCATTTTATTTTGAAACGCTAAACCTTATTGGAACATTTCATTTCACATATTGAAATATACGAGTTTATTTATGTTTACAGTTAAATGTTTTATAAACAAAGTGTTCATATACAAACCATGCTGGAATCCAGTATACAAAGAAACTATCGATGACGATAAATATGTGTCACTACCAACCTCTAAATCTGAAATAGCATATTGGTGAATGATATTTAATTAATTAATGGTAATAATCGGAAAATGTATTATAAAATTAGTATTCTAACACTCACGTGATTTTGTCACTATAGACAAAGAAGGAAAAAAACTGGTGTTAAACTGCCAATAAACACCGGTAAGGGACTACTTGTATATGCACTGTTATGTTTTCACCCTCGATTGTATAGTTTACAAAGCATTTTAAAGCAACAATAAAAAACATTTTTATTTATATTGTCGTTTTGATGTGACAAAATTAACCACTCAGGCCTACGGCCTTCTTGGTCAATTCCTACGCATCAAAACTCCAAACCGGTGTTAAATAGCCGATAAACACCTCTCAGGCCGATGTTATTTCTTAAACAAAATGTATTTTGCAGACACAGGAATGTGAAAATAACACATGAACTGTGCAAAAGTAATGAAGAATCTAGGAAATATATGGCATATTTCTATTTTAAAATTCCTGTGTTAAGAGATATAAACAGTATCACATATGTTTTTGAAATGATGAATTTTGATATTATATGGGCATACAAGATTTGTTTCCTAATTTATAAAAATAAATATGGTGTTGCATTGCTGGTAGTAAATGTATTTTTAAGTTTGAACAGAAAAAAGAGCTGCAGCATCAGCAGCAACAAAACAATAATAACAACAACAAAAGGGTTTTAGCGGCGTTTGATCTAACCCTTTCGTTGTTTATAATTTTCATCATAGGGAATATTTACATTATTTATTATCATATCATAGTATATATAATTATATTATAAAATATGATTATAATATTACTCACCTAAAATAGGAAACAGTTCTAGAGCGGAATCTTTTACAACAATGGAGCACAAATCCACATCAGAATTTACACGATAATCATTTAATATGCACGATGCTGAATCAGATGTGAAATTCGGCTGAAAATAAAAGAGTGATGTATTACTGCATAATGAACATGTTTGTAACATTCTACATATATGAATGTACACTAATTTGCTTAAAATGAACATGCAAACATTTCAACAATTCACTAATAAATATTCTCATTTTGACACATATAAACATATAGGCATTTCCTGATACGTTAAAACACGGGAAGATGGCGTCCGTGGCCAAGTGGTTAAGGTCATTGGCTTCAAACTACTTGCCCCTCACCGCTGTGGGTTCAAATCCCGACAGGTACTTTGGATTATTTCATGTGAGAAAGCTATCTAGCTAGCATACGGTAAGTCGGTGGTTCTACTCAGGTGCCAGTTTGTGTCTGAAATAATGCACGAAAAGTCTTCCTCCACCAGTGTTTAAAAGCTGGAATGTTGCCATATGACCTATACTGTTGGTGCGACGTACCCCGCTCCCTAAAAATTAAATAAAATAATAAAATGAAAATGAAAAAAGGAAGTGCCAGGTAAAAATAAATTCTGACATACAGTCTGTTTATTCAATTTCGTTGATAACATTATTGGCCCCTGGAAAGTATGACTATATACGGTGGAAAATCCCTTTTGATGAAGAAGGCAACCATTTTCCTTATTACTAAATGTGGGAACTCCGAAGAGAAGTACGCTATCGTTAGATTCTAGGAAAACATCGGAATTCACAAGGTTCTGAAATACGATAAATGCATTTGTTATTAGATTTTACATCAAAATGATGAATATCATTAAATTTATTCTGAAATAAGATAAAAACAAACTTTGAGGACGAAAAAATGGTTTAATTTACAGAAATAAATTTAATTTTCAAACATCAATATGTCTGCCTTGTAAAATTTAAGGAACTTGTTCAGTTATCATTCTTTCTCGTCTTTGTCCGTTTAAACTTTAATAATTATTCTTGCATAAACACTGGACACGCAGGTGTTCATTATCGAAAAAAAAGAAAAGAAAAAAAAAACAATAAAAAAACGGCGGCGAAATATACTTTTAAATAATTAACATGATGATTTAGTTCACTGTAAGCGGAGATAAATACACTACCTACCTTATTGTCTGGACATTTACAAAATGTCAAATTTTCTGTTTTATTGGTTAGATATCTATCCACTGCTGGAAAACTGTTAGAATGTAACGGCTGTCCTGATCGAAGGATATAATGTAAACTACCCTGTGTACCATTGTTAGGTGCAGCTGATATGTTCAGTACCTCTAAAAAAATAGTAAGAGAACATTTTCATTTTGGATATATGCTACTGTGTTAACCACAAGAACTGATATAACGTAATGTCTATCAATATATAATTATATTCACCTGTCATTAGATTGTACAATTCTATGTTTTCAAATGGAACAGCAGTAAAATTGTCTCTGAAAGCTGGACCATGGGCAAGAAATAAAGCCTAAAAATAAATATAACTTAGATTAGTAAGAAACATGTATTCAAGAGAAATACTCGTATACATTTTGACATCATGTGCATTATAATTATTGGTTACAAATTACATTGTCCTGAATTTAATTTTACATGCTTAATCACATTGGTCATTCAACAATTGCAAAAATATGATGAATTATCTTAAACTAGTGAAAATATACGGAAAAGGTTTGAAATCCTGAGCAGATTATATTTAAAAGTCAATAGAACATTAATTTACTTCAGAACATAATCCAAAGGTATTTATAGATATGATTAAATGCAATGGAAAGTTACAACGAAGATTAGTCGAAACTTACATGCATGTTTTTATTTGTATTATCCCAACCATGATTTCCACCGTTGCAATAAGTTGTTTTATCTCTGTAATAAAGTCAAATGTCTGAATAAACCGTTATTGCAAGCGTTCCTCAGACACATGTACCATTATTAAAAGCGTTCCTCAGACACATGTACCATTATTGCAAGCGTTCCTCAGACACATGTACCATTATTGCAAGCGTTCCTCAGACACATGTACCATTATTGCAAGCGTTCCTCAGACACATGTACCATTGATATGCGTTACGACAAAATGACAAGACACGAGAGGAAAAAGAAAAAATCAAAGAAGGCAGTCGCACGTCATAATTAATTGACACGGAAACAGTAGGAAATTGTAAAATATATGGACATATACACACCTCTTCAATTAAATATCTTTTAAAACTACCGAACAATTATTTCTTAAAGTAAGCTAGTCATTATATTTAAACATCACTATACATATTATAATTAAATGAAGTGAAATACTGATATTATAGTTATGTTGTGTACAAAACTAAAATTGTAATAAGCTAGTCATTATATTTAAACATCACTATACATATTATAATTAAATGAAGTGAAATACTGATATTATAGTTATGTTGTGTACAAAACTAAAATTGTAATGAGTTCGTTTCAATCAAAGTAACTAAACAACATACGAGTATATATCACTTTGTACAAAACCATCATCTAAATTGCCTGGTTTAATTTTCTGTCATTTGCATGGAAGGAATGTATAATAGAATTAAGATGATCGCCGCCATATGAACACATCTGCGGATGTTTCAAAATTCAAAAATTTACCAGTTCATGTTAAATGTACGCCGTTGCTAGAAGGCGTGGACAATAGCTTGCTATTACCACAATCGCCCATGGACAGGCTAAATCAAACCGAGCCTACAACAATGGGCATTCTTTAGAGATTCTATTTTTCTCTATTTGAATAAGTCTGCTTTTTTGCATCCTTATTCTTTCTAAAGTTATTGTTAACAGTATATACCTAAGTACAAGCCACTCATCTTTCATATCAATGGACACCGTCCCAATTCTGTTGGAATTTGTATAGTGGTGCCGAATTGGCATGGTATCTTTTGTAAATACCTTCATTGCAGGATGTTGACACATCAAATTGTCTACAATATCATCAGTCTGAAAGGCTAAAACGTATAAAGAAAATGTAAATTTGAAACATTCGTACTTTTATCTTCAAACAAACCTGTATTTTGTTTAATTTAATACTATACTACTTTTCTTTTAATTAATCAATTAAAAAAGCAAGATAACTTTTCTTTACAAAAACATCAAATACATATATACGCACAAGCATTAAGCCTATGAGCATCGTATCTACTGTCCTTCTCAAACTGTGGGAATATTTGTCCGAAAACTCGATCAAACATAAGCATGTTGTCTATGTCTTGATAGTAATCTTTAACTCTAACTGTTCTCTCACAACTCTGTGGTGACATTCCTGTGAAATAAAATCATATACAAGTAGGAATTTAGGCGTGAGTCTCTTAATAAAGACATTTTTGAAGAAAATACAAGAATTGCTAGAAAATGTTAAATAACCCAAACTTTGCATAGCCATCTTTAGCAGAAATCTGTGAATTTTAGAACTAAAAGCATCTAAGTTAATTATCTCGCAAACGAATGAAGTGATATATTATAAATATATCATAGATTTATTGTATTTTTAGAATAGAGATTGTATTTTATTTTTCCTTACATAATGAACGTAACTACATGCATTTAAAAATGCAAAATAAAGGTACCCCCGTATGCAAAACGCATATTTGCGTTCATTAAAACGATATCTATATAATGAAATACCCAATTACGAGTACTCTAAGACTGGTTTACAACTAATAGTAAATTATTAAATTTGTTATTTTGTAATGGGATATTATAAAACATAGAGTATCGCTATTATTAATCACATGAGCAAAGCAAGTGAACAAAAAACCTAATGAATGATTATGTCTTTACTTAAACTGCTCTTAAATTATTTCATTATTTCAGATTTTATATAGACATGATTGACTACATGTATACCATGATCTGCTAGTACAATCATGTTGATACAGTTATGGAGACCTTTCTCATATAGATTCGACATCAGAATATGTATTAGTTCATCCACTGTCTCAAGCTGTCCGTCAACCTGTAAATCTCAAACAAGATACTGAACAATCCTTTTAGAACGTTATCATCGTATATAACATTAGAATAACATTCAGCTACTTTTACGATTATTTCTAACTTAAAACATCCTACATAATCAAGCTGTAAAAAAAATAGTTAATATTGCAAATGGGCACCGGGGAAGTGCTTATATGAACACAAAATTATATTAACATCAACACTTTTTGTCCAACATGTGTATTTAAGCTTAGTATTTAAATACAAAAATGTTGAATTAACCTCTTCACTCTCAGGCCCACTGTTGTGACCAGCATGATCAGGTTCATCAAAATAAAGTGTCACAAAATCTGGCCTGGTATCCTCGGGCATACTCAACCAATCTAAAACATCATACACACGCTGGCTATATCCGGCTTTCCTACAAGATAATGATATTTTTTACAGTTATGCCAATTTATCGAAATAGACATTTTACGATGTTAGCAAACCACTTATCAAAATGTACTTTTTATCATTTTTTCCATACATCTAATAATGTATGTTTCATGAAACGAGTGTTACATAAATCTGGTATAGAATAATCGTGTACATTTGATTATAATTTTATTTACAAGTACTTATATATAATAGTCGTGATGATGCTAAATTAAACATATGCATTTGTAAACTCATGAAGACATTTTTATACTGATGATAAAAGATTTGACACTAAAGCTAGATCTGAGAATATAACATCAGTCATATTATTTAAAATGGTAACGATAACTTTTTTCACACACATACCCATCATAGTGTTTCCAAATATCCGGATATATTCCTGTGAAATGAACGAGGACATTCATATTAACAATGTTTTGAAAATAATACATTCAGTGTTCTCACTTATTTTCATACAGAACTTATTACAATGCAAAAAATACAATTCATGACGAATCTATTCGTAATTCAAATTTAAAATCTGTACAACGTGCAATGTATGGCATTTTAGGAGAGTACCTGAAATGTTCACATCAGAGCCTGGCCAAAAATATGTTGCAGTTTTAAGGCCTTGTTTCTTTGCGGTGATCCATAACTGAAAATCGAAAAACAATATCGGTTCAAGATTGGTTAATCATGAAATCTAGACCAATATTTTGTGTGCAAGATTACAGACCATTCGCTCATTCTGTTTTTATCTATTCAAAGTTTGAAAAGGCACACAATTGAAAAGCACTACAACGTTTTACACTCCAATCGGGCTAAAATACTAGTAGCACACAATACGTCTATACCTCCTTTAAAAATTTCTGTTCTGAAGATTGTGTACATTCTAAGTCGGTGATGGAGGGCAGGAAATTGTGTTGTTATTGTTTCTCAGTCAAGCCGATTATGTGATTGCCATTTATAAATGCTCTCAAGTTCGACTATACAGTATGCTATATTTCATAAATGTTGTGTCGTTTATTTAGTTTCTCTTTATTTATTCTAATTCTTATTCAGTTTTTCAAATTAAATACTATGCCTATTTCTTTCGTTTTAATAATGCAGTTTCGTTTACCGGTTCTCCTTTCCACCATCTTGAATCTTTCGCTGTAAAAGCAGATAGTGAAAAGATCTTGTCAATCTCTTCGTCATACATGTTGTTTGAAACTATTCCATGACTTTCTGGATACAGACCCTGAATCATTCATTAACATAAAATGTGACAAGATTCTGAATATTTGCATCACTTGAGGTAATCAATACTAAAAGTCACTTAAAATGTATAACATGCAACGTTTATTACATTTTCCTCTTAATATTGTTTGGCAAATGGCATAGGAAAACAAAAACAACTAAACACACCAAAAATGTAGTTTAACTTCAAGAGTGAACTATTCTGATATCAAAATGTGTCCCCGAAAATACTTTTCTTTATTTATTGCTGTGTAAGTTTATAAATATCATTGAAGATATTTTAAAATTATTACGGTGACTATAGTGTAATGGTTGGGGAATGTAACCGTCGGATACACAGATCTCATGTAGGGCGTATGTACTCCACATTTAGCAAGTCTCTCTATGGTTGGTGTCAAATGTCGTCCTAGATAGTCTGCTCGAAATCCGTCTAATGAAATCAGTAATAATGGCTTTGATCTGAAATTTATGAAAAAATGTTCTTTTGAAGTCGCCCAAAATAACGCAAAGTTATATGATTATATCATTATTATTTTTATACCAGACTTTAAAGCACCATTTTCATTTTTCATACGCTCAAAGGCACTGTAAAATAATGTTAACCTAACAAACAATACACACCAAGAAACAAGATAAAAGACATCAAAAATATAATACATTATAAAAGCTATAGAATATCTAAAACAGGTGAAAATAACTTCTCTAAAAGAATTGATATAAATAACTTAAAATATCTATAACAATTAATCATTTAAGACTACAGCAAACAAAAGAAAAGCAAATTATACCAACCCTGCAGGGCAAGATGCGTTAGGAATCGGACAAGGCAGATCTTCCCACGGAGTCATCAAAGGTGAAGGCCACATACTCGGCGGGAGAAAAGTCCTTGACCTAGCATTATCTGACCTTGAAAATGTTGTCAAGAACCTCTGTCCAGTGAGTTGTTCAATATCTCGAATTCTAGCAATATTGTTCAGCAGAAAATCCTTGTTTGTCTTAAAAAACACAACTAACAAATAAAACCATTCCTCAAAGGATTTCACATCATAACATCAATATGTTCGCTGTTAAGTTCATTTTACAAGTAAGTTATTTTAAGACGATGAAATTACACTACTTGTTATCAGTAGTTTCTAATAAATATCAGTAAAAATGAAATATTAGAACAAAGTTAAGGAATGGCGGCATTTGAAGAACGCTCCCCCAACAAAATCCAGCAACACAAGACCACCGGCCCTGAACCTAGCAAGGCTGAGAACAAAACCAGTAAAGGACACAAAGGCTTATCAGTAAGGGTACAAAGGTAAATCATATTTAAAGTTTATCAATATCATATTCAAAAACAAATAAGTTAATACATCATACCAAACAATTATTTGTTTTGTTTTGGTGTGGTAGAACAAAAGATAACACATCAACGGCTGAATGAGAGTTACATTCGGATAAATTCTGTTGTAAACTGTCCGAGCATTTCGCAAGTATCACATAGAAATGGCTTGGCAATGGTACAAGTTTATTAGAGTCGACGTATCTGAAATAATATAAAATAAGTTTTTCAGAAAGGTCTGATGTTCGAGTTTGAGCTTCTATGTACAATAAAAGAAGTCTTAGATATATTAACTGGAGTAGAAACGACTGCTTAACCTGAATGTATCTAAAATACATTTCTTTATATGAATAAATATTACACTTTAAATAGTTGCATTTAAATAAACAAAATAGATAAATAAATAAGTTAATAATAGTAATAATAATAATAATAATAATAATGATAATAATAATAATTATAATTATAATAATGATAATTGCAAAACCTCATAATGTACTATAGCTCAAGCTCACCTTATTTGAGATAAGTGAATGATACTTACATAGTGTTTTTGGTTAAATTTGTATCCATAAGACCGTCAAAGTCGTGATCGTAGATTGGACCAACAGTTACGTGTATTGTGTGATATTCGATAGCGTATTCTTTCACTACACGCCAGGTGTATGCCCATATCCCTATTGCAAATACATATGAGCCGCGTCACGACAAAACCAACATAGTGCGTTTGCGACCACCATGGATCCAGACCAGCCTACGCATCCGCGCAGTCTGATCAGGATCCATGCTGTTCGCTATCAGTTTCTCTACTTGTAATAGGGTTGGTAAGCAAACAGCATGGATCCTGATCAGACTGCGCGTTTTGTCGTGACACGGCTCATATAAAGATAGAGTCCAGTAGCAATTAAATTGATATTGAGTACTGGTCATTCATATTCATATTACACATAAACTATTCTAGATAAAATGCTGCAAAACTTTTCTATGACATTTTGCAAACATATCTTCAAACAAATTTGTTTAAACATTTGATTAATGTTTATAAATTACAAATTCTAAATTAAAATAAAATTATTGATGGTAAAGTTTAGTCAAGGTTAAGTGAGAAAGTTTTTAATCATCCAATTTCCTTATATATTGAATGGAATAACAAAGGATCACATAAATCAATCAATACATTTTATTGATAATAATTGCCACTACAGAAATATTCATACCTGCTCTGAAGCCAGTATACATCGGTACTTTGTTTGATGATAGAAGTGCTTCAGCATTTTTGTCCTTGTCTAGAAAACCTGAAGAAAAGAAATGAACTATATTACATTGCGAAAAAGCTGCGATGATGAGCACGAGATCATTTTATATTATAAGTATATTTTATATGTTGACTTTGAATATTTTGTCTATTTATAACACTTTCTCAGGATCAAAGACGTTCAAAACAACAATAAGTGTTACAATTTCACATTAACTTAGTTAAAAAGTAACATTTACGATACCTGGATTAAAAAAACGCACAGAATCAACACTTGTGTTTGAATTCACGTATTGGGAACATTTAGGATCATCTGCTGTACTAATTCGGGTGTCAGCAATTAAACAATCATCAATAACATCGCTATAACTGCGTACCTATAATGACCAAGCATAAACTTATTATAAATATACAGTGTATGTGTAAAGATACAAATCACGCAACATAGCAAATAAAGAGAGAAATTATATATAGAATGGCAGGTAATCAAAATGCAATTACCCGAGTCTCAGGGATATTGAGTATCATAGTTTAATAACATATTCGTATAAGGCTATAGTTAAAACAGCGAAATGGGAAAAATTGATATAAAATTATTAACAACGAATTATTATATCAACTACATATGTACAAAAACACAATATCAAGAGAAATAGTTTGAAATAATAGCGATTAACGAGGAATTACAGGCTGAATCATAAACTAAACCTAATTATTGAAATAAATATGTACCAATTAACAAAAGAATTTATTGTTTTCAAGTTTCATATTTAAAAATCACACATTTCTCATATTTACATTACATATAAAATAATTGTTACATTAACAAATTTAATACTTTTACTAAAAAGTATTAACAGTTATGAAAGCCTCTGACTGCAATGTAACATTTTTAGGATCAACTTACTTGGTCTGATGTCAATGTGAACGAGCTTATGACCGGTGCTTTATGTAATTTACTGTAGAAAGAGGAATACTTTTGTCCGTGGAGGGCGCATATATTGTCACTGTTTACAACAGCAGGTTGTCCAAAAGGAAATACACCATGTCCTGGTAGATTAGGGTGATTTACATCATTCTGTAGGAGAAAATGAGACATCAAAAGAAATGTCCGCTTCTCTTCAAAAGTTTGACATATAATTCTTATAAAAATGTAATAAATATTAACGCTGAGTGGTTTACAGATGGTAAAATAGTTACCGTGTCGTTGCAGTGGCAAGAAACAGATTTCGACCTTGAGGAGGTGGTACACAAGCCAGGAGGTTGAAATACTGGTAAACTAGGTTCTAAAGGATTTTGAAGGAGATGGTCCAAAGTTCCTGCTGTCCCGTTGTTCGGTGCTGGCTTTATACTTAGCAATTCTGCAAATTTTAAATATGTATATTTCATTAAAACATTTTTCTTACTGATATTCATGCAATAAGATAACTTTTACAATTACTGATTACCTTTTTACAAAACATAGCTATTCTATTTTTTGAATAAGCAGATTATCAATTGGATATAAACATTTATAGGATTGTTTTGTAATTTCACATGTTTAAAACATTTTACTAGTAGAGTCGTAACATTTTAATTAAATATTGTGTCAAGAGAACTTACCTGCCATTAAATTATACAGCTCGATATTTTCAAAAGCTTCAACAGCTAGGTTTTGTTTAAAACCAGGTCCATGGGCTAAAAACAGAGCCTGAAATAATTGTCAAATGTCAATATACGTACACTGCAATCTGTGCAACAGAAAATACCTTAATTCTGATATAGGTAAACTGGTGATGAAATATAAAACAAGCTCCAAAACAAATTATTTCTTATGTAAAATAATAAGTTTTGCCGAATTATCAACTTCGGGAATCTATCTTAAAATAAATGAAAGGTAAACATGATATATTCTTTTAAAATCAATTACTAGTAACATAATAAAATTAGAAAAACAGGTATTTCATAAAAATGAATTACTTTAAAAGAAAAGATAAAATATATGTTACGTTTCACATACAGCTGTGTAGATTTGACTTATAATGAGTAACATTCTATTTATAATATTACTCACATGCATACTTTTGTAGATGTTATCGTAACCATGGTTTCCTTTTAGACAACCATTTCTTTTCGTTGGGCTATTATAAAATACATACATGTTTTTATATAGCAGTTGATTAAATCTATACTACGTGCATGAAATATGTAATCAAAGATCAACAAGAAAGTATGACATTTACTGAACACGCGAAATTCCATTTTCAACAATTAAAACATTACACAACAGAGGGTCATAACACAATATAATGTCAGCAACTAATGTGAGCTTTTAAATTGAAAACAATAATGCATGATGCTATATAACTAGAAATATCCTTAAGGTAAAACTATTAACCTCGTAAAAATTAGACCGGCTTTTATTAACTTATTAGTCACAAAGCGAGGTCATTTTTTACATCAATGATGAATTTACTGCATTGAAAAATTGAGTGAAGGCCATAAACAGGTAGCTAATGTTTAAAACAATACCATAAAGTGTGAGAATTTGGGAAGTATAAAAATGCAGAAAACGTTACCAAAAATTCTAAGCAAAAGAGACAAAATTTGGTTTTATCCATAGCTCAATTAATATTTAGTAATCATGCATGTGATGATCATTCTGAAATACCTTTAGTTTTTAAACTTATATCGTGTCCAGTGAATAGTGTCGAGGTGCAGAAAACTAAACCAAAATGGGGCACATATTTGTGAAAATGCACGACCGAGTTATGTTATTTTACCAATAGGTGTAAGATATGGCTAGTTAGAAAACAGATGTTGTTGTTACTTTTTAGATATGCCATATACCTATTTTATGTTAAAACTTCCTTTAGTTTGGACATAAATTTAAAACCTACATACTATACCAGCCAAGACTGTTCAATGTCAAGGACGACTTCGCCAATTCTATCATTATTGGCATAGTGATGTCGAGCAGGTAACGATGAACGTGAAAATATGTTCAGATGAGAGTTTTTACACTTCAGTGAATCAATAATATCTTTTGTTTGTGTAACTGAAGAAAAAAAAAACAAACAACACAAAAGCTTTTAATCTATAATAAGTCAATGTTTATAATATGACAAGGTTTAAACCCTATGGAAATATTACAGTCACTCCTTATTTTGAAAGCGAATTGATGGGAAAATATTACATTTATTGCATTTTACTAGTCATATAAGTATGTCATGAATATGATATCATTTATGTATGATAAAATACGTTAAGTTGGACTGTAGCTTGTTCTAATTTCATATACAGAAAACGAAGACATGTGTTCTGAATATGTCAAATTCTGATTACAATACATGCATAAATGTTAAATGCCACTCTGTACAAAAGATTTCAATTACACTTAATGTTAATTCATGATTTTATAGGCATGCATGCATACGCGGGAATAAAGCCATGCCCAGTTATAAAATTATAATACAGATGATATTTTCATTAAAGATTTATCTGTTCACCGTAAAACCAAAAACAATTGTTTTTGTCAAAGAAAACAATTAAATTACCATTCTCATTTTCATAGACATTTCTACTGACTTTTCTGAATCTTGGATTGATATGACCAGTTGTGCCGGAATATATCAACATATCATCGACACCATCCAAATATTTGCTTAAAACAACTTGTCGCTCACATGATGTTTCAGCCATTCCTTAAAAACAAAGAAGAATGTTTTTCCACCGCATTTTTTATATATTTTATCTCAGGCTAGGTTTTTAATCTCACACACACAGAAAACATACACAGTAATGTAAAATAAATGACACATATTACAGTGTACTTATATTTGCAGTCATCATTTCCGTAAAACACATATTGAATATTTGCTGATTTGACAAAATTTGAAGTTAGAATTGTTACAAATCTAAATTTATGAAATACTCAACGACTTTTTCGTATAGCCCTTGTAAATCTATAACAATTATTAAGATAGTATAAATATGCTCTCATAATGAAATGATTTTTTCTGGAACAATATTCTGTACCATGATCAGCAAGCACAATAAGGTTGACACAATGGTCTTTTTGACGCGCAAGAAGTCCATTCATCAGTCGACCAATGATACCGTCCACACGACTTAGCATGGAGTTTACCTAAAACACAATTGTAAAATGTAAAATGTTTTATCAGTCATTAGAAAAAACCCAACTTAGTATAGAAGGAACTTAGAAGTACCTAGTCTTTAGGCGTATAAGCTTAAAGTTTAATTATTTGCAATATTTTGTTGCACAAACAGTAAAACAGTATGAAAAACTTTGAAGACAAAAAAGTACACGTTATTCACCTCATGTCCAATACCTTACAATCAAATCCACAGTACCTGTTCGCTGTTAGGCCCTGAACCATGGCCAACATGATCAGGTTCGTCAAAATAAAGCGTAATGAAATCAGGTCTTTCTCCATCAGGCAAGTCAATCCAGTCCAACACTGTATCCACTCTATCTTCATACGGTATTTTCCTGCAACAAAACAGTTCAACATCTAATCATAGGTGCAAAAACGTTATCCTAAACTCCAAACAACTTAACGTCAAATCCCTGTCCTGTGCAAAAAAAGTCTTAAAGTTGAGCATGAGAAACGAAACAAGATCTAACAAATAGGAGATTAATTGCTATAGATTACAAAGAAGAGAACAAAAAGACTACAGGAGGAACAAAGAAGACTTGGATGGCTAGCATAGGAATGAATGTAATTGGTGTAGAGGTTTAACACGGGAGTAGATATGATGGCGAAAATGGTCTCTTACGGAGTACCTGCCAATTTCTGTTTCCCTGTTGAAATCAATCAGAGTGTGCTGATCATTTCGACTTGGCTGTAATGCCTGGTGTGACTTCATGTCTTTCACGCATATAAGACAAAATGATAAACAAGTTACTACACAAATGGATCTGCATCTAACGGAACCTTCTATATTTCATAGACATTCTCTCACTATTATGGTTCACATGTACAGACAAGAAAAGGAAGATGAAAGACGTGATGTACAAAAAGAAACTTCAAGTACATTAATAACAAAAATGAAAAATAAAGAAAATCATTTTTGACGAAATAATAATAAAGCGCCATCATAAAGTAACTGTTTCAGAACTATGTCTTATAAAGTTGTTTGTAAGAGGCATCGCACATAATATCTGATTATAAACGACACTATAAGGGTATACACGTAGTTATTATATTTATAAATAGTCAAATACCCGTCATATGGTTTCCAAATATCAGGTTGTACTCCTGAAAATAAGATAAAAAGTCTATTAAGTTTATTTATTGTTGAACTTTTGCATTTAAGTAACATGACAATTGAAAGTAATGAAGGTAATGACATAATATAAAATAAATTTGTATTTTATAAATGTAGCAATGCAATTTTCTGATAATATACTCATTTATCTTTTATGATTAGGGCAAAGAACAATACAATGTAGTACCAGAAATATTCATTTCACTTCCAACCCAAAAGTAAGAGGCTGTCCTTTTGCCTTGTTTCTTAGCGGTTACCCAAAGCTGTAAATGTACAACATACAAAATTACAATACCATAATTACAAATATACTCTTTAATTACCAATTATACGATACAATTACAAATGTATACAACTAATAAATACCAAGTGCTATAAATTTATAATTTATATTGCAATGTATAAGATCGATAATTAATGTCTATTTCAATTCAGTGATTAAACAAATTAACGTTGGGCATCTCAGCAAATACATGAATACACATTAATGAATTATTACCGGTTCACCGCCCCACCATGCCGAGTTGAATTTCTCTTCACTACTGATAGAAAAAGACTGGTTTAGATGTGGATCATACATACTATTTCCAACAATACCATGTGATTCCGGATACAGACCCTGATAAAACATACAGACATTCAATAAATTTTAAAATAGAGAAAATAAGATAACTCAAAACAATGTGATATATGCTTTACCAATTATTACGTTGAACATGTAAGAGGCAGGGGAAATTACTAGTTTATTAACGGATATTTGTGTAATCTTTTTCTTGTGACGTTTAATAATTTAACAAAATTGAAACTTCTTAAGTGTCTTATCTGTCGACGGTAGAAACAACAAGCTGTAACGGAAAGTGGTAGAAAAGTTTGCTTTACCGTTACAATAGTGTAATGATTAGGGAACGTCAATGTCGGATACACAGCTCTCATATATGGGGTGTGGACACCGCAATCTCGTAGTTTTTCGATAGTTGGTGTCAGATTTCTTAGTAAATACTCTGCTTGAAATCCATCCAAGGACACAAGGACCAGTGGGTTTTGTCTGCAATAGTTTATAATGTATCAACATCTTTACGTGATTGTTACGTTTTCAATGGAAAATGCTCTGATTTAAGATAATTATTTGCATTGACATCAACAATAGCATGTGGAAACATCAGTGAGACAATACTTTAATGAGTATAAACATTTGCTGGGGATGTCTGCAATCGGCAAAGCTTAATATAAACCATACCAAAGTGATGATGTCTGTAAGTTTCCGTTGATGTAAGATGCGCATGTTAGAAATCAACAATAAACTGCTTAAAAGGATTGTTCATTATTAAATTTATTTAACTTTTTTCCTTGTGAGTTAAGATTGTACTTGGTTAGCTCTTCAGACAGTTGTTGCCATCAATTTCTACAAATATGTCATAATTGTGAACTAACCACATATAATTGATATACCAATACATAATAATTTTCATTCAATATTTGTTATTTTTTTAATGTGTGAATGTCAAAAAATGTTACTTATACATACCTCCATGGACATTTAGGTGCGGAATCTGGGTTAACACATGATCTTGAAAGCCATTCAACTGATTGCGTTGTTGATTCTGAAGATGTCGTATGACGGGTAGATATTCCACCTGTATTTTGCGATGTAGTTTCAGATGGACGGGTGGACAACGTTATCCTTGTTGTCGATGTCACGGGGACCTGCGTTGACCGCGTTGATTCTCCTTCCTATACAGAATAGCATAAATAACAATATAAAATCCATCTTTCATAAATATGAATTAATCATCTGTGATGTAAATCTTCTACAATAAAGTATGTAATAGTCTGTAAAGTACATATTGAACATTAAAGTATGATGAAGTCAGTTATAAAAATGTTCCACTCATATTCTATATACCACATTGATTGTGTTCAAAAGTTCGGTCTAACATGACATGTAAAATAACTGATAGCGAGTAGTGAAGTTCTGAAAAAAAATCGGTGACTATATATGTTCATAAAAAATATAGGCCTACATATATATGGCAACTTCATTTTGCTATAAGCTACCGTTGTTATGTAAAATTGTTTAAATCTCTTGTTATTTACGCCTACGTAAAAAAGTTCATTTGAACAAGAAAGAAAAAATGTTAATATAAAAATGTAAACGAGAACCTTTAAGACTATGTAACAATTTTATTCAGTTGCACATCGTCAGAGATAAACATTTTATACCACATGGCGTGAACTGTATGATGTATAATACAATATCAAAGTAGGGTACTGATTGCTTCTAAATATTTGGTATGCATAACCCAATTTAATCTACACGAACGCACTTAAGGTCGAATGTAAAATGCAAGATACAAACATATCTAGCGCAACACATCTTAAACTCAACGTATTACTGACACTAAAAGGCTAAGATGTATTTAACTGTTTTCATTATATTTTCATTATCTTTTTCATTTGCATCAAAACTGTTAATTCGAAATATTATGTGAAATTAAAATACACAAATACTATTTCATTTTAACAGTACCTGTTTTTCATTTTCACTTTGGGAATTAGATGAGTCTGATGAGTCCTTTGTAGATAGCCAAACAACAATACCAACCACTAGAGCCAGTAAACACACGACCATCTATGGTAATAAATGTTGAGCTTGCACAAGTGTTCAATGAATAAAATATTTTAATGATGTGTAATGTGTAAAATGTACCATGTTTTTTTCAAATAACACATGTTAATAAGTTGTAAAACAATGCAAATAGCACTATCAACACTGCTTTAATAAAAACAATGTTGATACAAGATGTGTAAAGTAATACTCATTCAGTAAATTTAACAGTCATCAAACAAACATATAAATATACACAACGCGAAGTCCTGTCAAAGTAAATTTCACCAGAATTTCACGAGAACTCTTGCAAAATATGTCATATTTTACCACGGCTGCCAGTATGTATCTCGATCGCTTTTTCCGAGGTTTTCCGACGCCGTCTGTTATCAACTGAAAATGAGTAGAAAATATTTCATTATTGAAATTGGATGTTCGTATCTGAACCATACCTTTTGTTGAAAATCTTACAATTTTTTTCCCAAAAAGTTATACTTAACTTTATTTAGTGTGCACATGTATAATGGGTCATAGAATAAATTCCGATATTAGTGAAAATTGATACTTTTTCATTCACATGCTTTACTAAAAATACTATTGATTTGTATAAAACATGACTCATGTCTTTCGACTCTTGAGTGCACCACAGGTACCTGACGTCTAATATTTTATTTATATCTTCTTTTATCTATAATAATATATATGTATAGGGGTAGGGTAGGGATGTGTGTTACACATTAGGCACCTGTGGAGTGCACCATCTTGTCTGTTTGGCCATAGGGATTGGTACCTTAAATCTACGTTGTCAGAAACGTTTTATTCAGAATGTTGATCATAATCATAATTATTGTTATTACAATAGGAATGAAATGTGTTTGTCTACATTTCCCGTAGGGAAGATGAATTATTGTATTCATGGTACATTTGGTTGCAAGTGTCATAAATGGCTGTAACTTTTGATTAAAAAAAGAAAGATAAACTCAGAGCATATTGGTAAATTAATTGGATGAGTTAGATTTTTTTTATAGAAATCGTTTTAATCATCATTATTTTTTTACATGTATTTTCTCGGACTATGAAAGAACAAAACAAAACAAAAACAAACAAACAAACAAACAAACAAACAAACAAACAAAAAAACCCAAAACAGTTACCATGCTGACTGTATTTCCATCATAGTGACTACTATTTCCAGTTTCCATTTTAATTTAATTTTGTATCAGACCGTAAGATCAAATAAATGTCCCACTACTTAACTGAGCATTTGAATTTAATGCGGGCAACATGTCTTTCAATTCCACCATCGTGAGGACATTTTGACAACTGTAGAGCGCAGGTGGTTAATGCTAGGTTTAATAGTGTAATGCAGACAATTATCATAAATAAATATTGCAACAGTTGACTTATAATATGTTCATATAGTAATGAAGTGTTTACTATTTGAAAATCAAGTAACATGCGTAGATATATAAATATGGTGGGTTTTTAGTGACCTGAGATGCTTTTAACAGCCTGTAATCTTGCCGTTAATCCGTTATAATTGAATTTTATACCATAATACCTTATTTGTAGCAATTGTGATAATTGCGCGGAACATCACTACGCTATTAATTTTCTAACGCATTAGTTTAACTCATTTTTTAATTGTGTCATATCAATACAAATTCACCTTTCATGTGACATGATTTTATTGATAAAAATATTTGATAAAATGATAATATAAACATTATAACAGACTAATTAACTTGAATATAGCTTTCATACAATGTTTACTTTACGTTTAAATTTTGTATTTTAAATCTTTCTCTAGATATTGTTGTTCCTAAAAGTTTGCATTTTCTACCGAAATATCTTACCACACAGCATTTTTTTCTGGAAAACGTCTTTATTTTTTATGTAATTATATTTACCAAAAAAAAAGAAGAAGATATTTCCCAAACGGGGAAAGTCAAACTTCTGATGATTTTTCATTGACAAAATATATTCTTGTTTTCAACGTACAAACGTGCAATCTACCAAATACGAGCACTTGGTATGGTTGACGCGTGTATCTGATGTCGTTCATTTAACTTTTGACATCATATATCAATGTCTTCTAATAGCACGCATGATTTATTAAACCATGAGAAAAGAAATAAGTTAACAAACCCTCCCTCATACCCATAGCCGCTTTGTGACCTCGGTTAAGAAATTACTAGAAAGAGACAGACGGACAAAAGTGTATTGGGTATCAGACAGATTTTTTTTCTTACAGATTCTGCACACAGAGTATTGTCAGACGTTAGGTACCCATGCAATTTATCTAGGACGATATTAATTATATAATAGCCTGCATGCCGAACGACATGGAATCACGTTGACGTCGAAATGACATCGTGACTCTATACTGAAGTTTCAAATGTCTGTTATTTGTAAACCCGTATCATAAAATGATAACATTGAGTCTGAATTTCAAGAGTCACAGATATAAATTATGAACACTTAAGATTCATTTCAGATTTTTCATACTCGTATACGGATATCACTTTTATCAATCATCACTTGATAGATTAACCTTTAAATAGCTTAGGTTGGTTTTAAGAGGCAATAAAATACCAAAAATATCGCAGGCACATGGAGATATTTGATGAAATTTATGTTCTTGCTGTTATGAAGTCATAATTTGAGTGTTATCATACTATTCCATATCATAAAAAGTAAAAAAACTAATTCATTATGTAAATAGCAAAAGACTAATAATAATAGTTATTAATAAGTAAAACAAAGAATAACAATATTACGCATTAAGCGTAAATTATATTTTATTTCAAAAACGCATTTGTGTTCCAAACTCATTGCATTAGATAATGAAAGTCTTGACGGTTGCATTGTAAATTAGTGATACTTTGTTTGGTTCACGAAGGTTGAAATATTATTTTCTCAAATCTATTAGGGCACATAAAACTATAAACTTTTTTGAAATATTGGTGAATTTCTTGTTCTCGTGGCTACATTGTATGAACTCGGTCAAAAAGCATCATTAAAAACACAAAATGTCCAGCTGTAATGCCTTTGCTCGTATAACAATAAGAACCATACAATTTTCACAAGTTTTTAAATTCTGGTGTGAAAGTAGTTTATAATCCATTTTCCTAAGATTATCTTCATTCGTTAGTTCTGATTAAAAATGTTGACATATGATTTTTCTGAAAGAAAGCCAGTACAGCTTTTATAGATATCTTGTGGATTCTTTTTTGTTTAACGATTGCATCAAATCCGTTTGCAAATGATTCATTGACTAAAATCTTAAACATTTACATTTACCACTGAATTTTCAATATCAAATATCGCACAATAATGTCTTTGAAAATATAAAACATGCCTTAACATTTCAGAGTTCCCCAATCTTTTTACGATCCTGAATCTAAAATATATTTTGCATTAAGAACTAACAATGGGATGTCACCATCCGTAACTAATATCTACGAAGTTCTAAACGTTAAAAAAGGAAGTAGTACTGACGACGTGTTTTTAAGTTTGAGCTTATAGTAAATTCCAGGAGGCCCGAAGATGTCAAAAGGGATGAGAACAATCGTGACACATTTGTAAGTTTTAAACGAAATTAACACAGTACTATATGACCAGTTATTTTCCGTGTTTGAGAACTTTTCATAAAATTCAGAATCCTTTGTCGATTTAGTAAACATATCGGATTCTGTCTTCAATTCAGAAAATTTATCATCCGATAACATGGCTTCATCTTCCAAAACTGTAGCTGTTAACTTGGATACCGATATAAGTGTCCGGTCTACTCATCAAAACGATGTGATACTGACATTTCATAAGAAAATTGATAGCAGACTAGAAAATGTAGTGTAGAAACTTAACAAATTAGATAAATTATATCTGAAAGTGGATACATTTGAAAATGAATTTAAATCATTATGGTGTATGGTGCAAGATAATGCTAAAGATGCATGCAACAAAATCAGTAACGTGGAAGATCGTGTGGATCATATTGAATTGTCTAAGACTGAAACTGTGTCTAAGATTCAGCAACTCGAACATGAAAATGTCACAACCTCGTATTTGGTGGCATCAGTGGGTCGGCCAATGAGAAGCCTCAGAAACCGAAGCTTCATTGAGGGCGTTTATGATAAATTACCTTAAGTTAGCCCAGGATATTGTTGACGCTATAAGAATCGAACGTGTGCACAGGATGTGTACCCACAAGGAAGGTGAGAGGCATGTTGGTCGTAATATAATGTTCAAATTTACGTTCCTCAAGGACCGCCAACCCGCTCGAAACAAGCGCTCCGAGCTCAAAGGTACACGATTTAATGTTCACGAGTTTCGTCGGTTGGTTCCCCTGATGAAGAAGGTTAAGGAAGATGGCAAATTCGCTTTGATTTCATATGATACACTGTACAGAAATGGCAAGCTGGAAGATGCTTGGGCTTTACCAGAGAGTGGAGCAAAAGTTTTGGTGTAGTATATCAAATTTTATCAATGGTCTTACGGGTCGAAAATTAAAAGATATGGAGTTTGCTTATTAAATTTCTAAAATCAAAGATATTTTTTGTCTGAATCGTGGACTGATGAAAAATCAAATATTGAATTGATTGACTTTACTTGTATTTTTTTTTCAGAATCTTTAGACATAGAAGGACCAAAATAAATAGTGAGGGCATTGTTTTATATATTGGGAATACAATCAATTGTAAATAATCATTTTGAAGTTCAAATTAGATAAAGACTTTTTTAATTTTCAACGTGAAATATATATTGGTGTGGTTTATATTTGTGGTCCTGTCAATTTAATTGATGAAGACTTATTTAATATACTTGAACAGGATATTTTTCACTTTGAGCAACGTGATAGTATAATGATTGCTGGCGCGTAGGGAACAAACCTAATTTTGTTGTATCTGACCGACTTGTTAAAGATATTGAATTTGATGATTATATTCTCGAAACGGCATTATGCCAATCAAGACCCTTTGTGGAATGCAGGGGTGGTAAAATGCTTAATTTTTGCAAATGTACAAATATGCGCATAGTTTACGATTTATAAGGATCAGATTATAAGTGTGGGCTATTTACTTATTAATGCCGCAATGCAACTTTCATTTGTTGAGCTTTTTTGAAAAAGGTCAATTTAAGTTATTAAGTGATTATGCGCCCTTACTTTTTACATTAAATGCAAATATTATTTGTGATGTGGCTGATCCGTTGTTCCAGCATATTCATATTAAGTCAAACAAGGGGTAAAACAGAGCGCATGAAATGCTGCAATACATGGTGAACTTGGGCGTTCTTCATTATATGTTAACATTTATGTTCATAACATTAAGTATCGATTTTAGCTAATGAATACAGATAATATTATTTTGAAAAGTATTTATCAAAAAAAAAAGTAAAGTAAAAAACATTTATACCGATTTTTAAATAAAAAATTGTAGATTGTTTTAAACAAAAATGATTTGCTGATACTGCAAGTAATAACTTTTTGAATACTTTATATGCATATGTTAAAACTAGCTTCGGTATAAAAAATTGCCTTAATTTGTTATCATGTTATTCTTTAAGAATATGTCTCACGAAATTGCGTATATCTGCCCATAAGTTAAAGTTTGAATCTGCCAGGTATGGCCGGAATAGTTGGAAAGACAGGAACGTATCTGCCAAGTATGTGATATGAACGAATTTTAGTTTGTACTTAAATGTAAAGTGTATACAAAGTATTATATTAAACGTTATTATTATGTTCATACAAGTTTGTATAAATTTCTAGAATTGTTACAGTCCAACAATAAATGTAAATATACAAACTCAGCAAATAAAATTAGAAATGAGGTAATGTAAAGAATTTAAGAAATGTTTGAAATGTAAAAGCGCTTAGACAGTATTATATGAAATCGTAAATGCTTTTAGAATCTAACCATTTTTCCTTTAAGTGAGTATTATCTTGACATGTTGAATTGCTCTTTCTTATGTTATATTTAAAATATATGTATGCACCATATACTTTTGCAATAACGTGCTGATTCTTAAAACACTAAATTATTTCAATTATGGTAATTTGTTCATTCTCTGTGAAATATTGAAAACATGTTAGCTTATCACGTGACATTGTATGTTTTTATTTGATTTTTATTTTAATTAGATACATGTATTGTATACGTTGATAAAAATTCTGATCTGTTCTTATTTCTAGGGTGTGTTAAGTATTCAACATAAATAATGACGTCATTCTATAAATAGTCAACCAATGATATCTAATTAATCATTACCACGCGATTGTTATATAAAGCCTAGCTCTGTCATTCTTTGAGTTGACGAATAGTTTTTGTACCAAATAACATAAGCTGATTTTTATATTATGTTAAAACACGTTTACAATAAGATTAAGTCCTTCAAGAAAATGCTCAAACAATTCAATGATTTCCAGGTAACACAATTTAAAGATAGTGATATACAGCTTTGTGACTTATCGTAAAAGAAGTAAAAGTACTAGTTAAGTCATCTTTAAATAATGCAGCAGCATTTTTAACCGCACTTCTTATGCAGTATCCATATTAATTAAATTAAATACTAAAATTAAATAAGTGATAGGAAATATTGTTCCGAACCTATTGGTAAAGTTTCATTAATATCTGGATATGGGTAGGAAACCACATAACGCAAAGCTCGCATTTAGATATGAACTTTTCGAGAGAAAATTTTTGGTAGGTTGGTTAATAATGTTGTCATTTGCATAAAACCGGTAAATAACAAAGAGTACTTTGATACCTGCGTTAGGATTTCGTTTCAGTTTTTAGAGAAAAGTGGGGAGAAAAAAATAGGACATACACAAAAAAGGCTGCACTGAATGTCGTTACCATATCAACATGAATTATTAATTTACCCTGCTGGTATAAGGGCTCTCATAACATTGGATTTATAGTGAGGTGATCTCTGTCAAATATCCCCGGCGTATTTAGTGATATAGTGCCACTTAAATGTCACATCTGAATTCATGAGCATTTTCAAGACAAAAAGATAATAAACGCTCCCACCTGGTACAATGGTACTAGTGATCAATCTAAGAAACACTTAAATACCAGCTTGTTAATCAAATAACGTGCTTAGAGAAATCTGCATAGAAACTCTTACGTTATAGATTTATTTCAGTTACACCGATAAAATTGTGCAAAAACCCTAAAGTTATTTGTATAAGTTTGTACAAATAAAATAAAAACGCCGCATTTAATTTAACGGGATATCTACAAATTCTTTGGTAACATACCGTTTGATATCAAAATGTAACTATTACCAATTAAACACCATCAAATCGACATAAATATGTACATTTAAACTGAAAATTTATCACACATTCAAATGTTTATTTAAAGGTTCATTATGCCCAAGAAATGCTTTTATTTTTATTTCTCAGAATATTTTATTTTTGGTGTCCTGTTATAGTATCAAAACAGTAATTCACTGGCCAATTACCTGAATCATCTTTTGCTTCTGTTGTCTACAGTTATAGTGATTTAGTATTTTGTATAGATGTAAAAAACTACATTGTTAACATTTTTCTACTTTTAGGCAAATTAGTTCACATTCATGCAGCGTTTCTATAGGTGATAAGTATCAAACATGTTTTAAACCGTTATTTTAACGTTACAACACTCATGTTTGCCCTGTCAATGGAAGGAAAAAATATTCGTTTGTCCAGGAATACAGTAGTGTGCTTTTAAAAGTACATGGTGGTTCCATTTATAAGTATTCACAAATAACCTTAAAAAACTATTCTAAATGTGACACTATTACATGAATGATGCAATGAGATTAACAAAAATAGCAACAGAACAATAAACAAACGGAAAAATACACACACGCGCGCGCACGCACGCACGCACGCGCACCCTATCCCCAAACAAACACAAAAATAGGATTTAACAATGCAAACAAATGAGGTTTACTCACGTTATACTGAGATCCATCATATACCGGATTGCTGTGTGCTGAATTCTGGAATTTAAAAATAGGCACCGATAACTATTAACGTTTTATCAATATATTAACTCTCATATAAATATCATGCAAATATAAGTTAGTAAATAATAAGAGGATATTTTTCGTTTTCACAAAAAACGAAAAAATAACCTTTTTATTTAATTAATTTCATTATCAGAGAAAAATGATGACAGACTCAACTGCATGCTACGCAACTGCAATTGTACAGCGCGCTGTAATATATTATTGCGTCTTGTTTTGCACGCGATATTTGACGCTACATTGTGACGTCACGTAAACAACTCTTTAAACGTCTGTACAGCGTTAATAACTGAATTAAAGATATTGCTGTTCGGATTTATTTTCTTAGTTAGACCATATCCTATCATTCTAGATAGTTTTCAAAACAAAATTCAGCAAAAAGTTGTTTTGTATCAAATAAAATGGCGAAAGAAGTCCTTTAAAATAAATATGAGTTTTGACTCCGCCCACTTTCATATTTATATTTCATATTTATTTTTAAAAAATATGAAATATATTTGACTGATATAGCACCATATTTCATGGGTAAAATTAAATAATAAGAGGATAATTTTTCGTTTGCGTGAAATATGGAATATATTTTCACGAAACATGATAAAATGCCACATATTTTCACGAGCCGGTACGGCGAGTGAAAATATGTGACATATTATCATGTTGAGTGAAAATATACACCATATTTAACGAAAAACGAAAAAATAACCTTTTTATTTAATTTCATCATCAAAGAAAATGGTAACGAAACCCCTTGCTTGCTACCAACTGCAATTGTACAGCGCGCAGTAATTTATGCGTAAGCACGCGCTGTTTGGCGCTACATTGTGACGTCATGTAAACAACTCTTTAAACGTCTGTACAGCGTTAACTACTGAATTAAAGATATTGGCGTTCGGATTAATTTTCTTAGTTAGACCATTTTCTATCATTCTAGATAGTTTTACAAACAAAATTCAAGAAAAAGTTGTTTTGTATCAGTTTTTTCAAACAAAACAGCAAAAGAAGTTCCGTAAAATAAATATGAGTTTTGACTCCGCCCACTTTCATATTTATATTTCATATTTATTTTTAAAAAATATGAAATATATTTGACTGATATAGCACCATATTTCATGGGTAAAATTAAATAAATATCTATAAAAGAGAGAAGTTATATTCCAATAAATACATTGTATTGTGTAACATTTATAACAATTTTAGAATTTTGCATTACTAAACTTTGTTTGAGAGAAATCTCGTTAAATAAAGTCTTTATTATTATTATTATTATCATTATTTTCATTATTATCATTATTATTATCATTCAGATAAAAGAATAAGTTGATGACGAAATGGTTCATTTATAAACGTTATTTCAGAGTTACATATTTGTCTCGAATGACATGTGACTATATGTAAAAATTATAAAAACCGATGTATTAATTTAAATGAATTCATAAACTGCGTTTTTCAAGACGTCTTATTTATCTTATTATTATAAGTGGTGGTGGTGGTGGTATGAAAATTTGTAGTTTTCATCAGTCGTCGTTTAAGTAGACAATTATATTATCATGCAGGTGTAGTCACAGTCAGGTGTAAATATATCTTGGATTTGTGGTGAAGTTGATGTTACAAGTAGATATGAAGTTGTAAATATTGAAAGATGTAAATATAAATATAACCAATACTCTCTTTACTTCACCGTGAATAAAATAACGCAAAATCAGCACTTATACAAAGTAAATATTATAAAACTGGCGATTTACTGACTGTAAAACTAGAGAATACAACTAAATTTTATAACTAAATGTCAGATGACACTTGTAGACTTTGGTTACACTAAATGTGAAAATTGAATGAAACTAAAAAAATGCTGTTTGTTGTTTTTTTTTCCTATTAAATTTCTTTACTGGATGTCATGTTACGTTCAATACAAAGATTTTAAAACAATACTTATAGTCACAAATCACAAATCACACCCCATCTAGCCTCGTTTTCAATTTTTGAGAGTCCAAAATCCATATTAAATCCTTATTGTAAATGAATTAACAACGTTCTGTCAAAATGTCAAAAATTGGTGGTGTTAAATAAAGAGGTCATTAAACATGATTCTATATATACTCTATCTATACTGATTCTATTGGACTTGTACACAGCTGCAAACCCTATATCAGACTCGACCAGTGCCTCGTCCAATATAGTGTTAACAGCTGTGTACGAATCGACTAGTGCCTCGTCCAATATAGCCTTAACAGCTGTGTACGAATCGACTAGTGCCTCGTCCAATATAGCCTGAACAGCTGTGTTCTAATCGACTAGTGCCTCGTCCAATATAGTGTTAACAACTGTATACAAATCGACTAGTGCCTCGTCCAATATAGTGTTAACAACTGTATACAAATCGACTAGTGCCTCGTCCAATATAGCCTTAACAGCTGTGTACGAATCGACTAGTGCTTCGTCCAATATCGTGTTAACAACTGTGTACGAGTCCAATAAAATTCACTACTGTACTAAACAATGTATGACAACCTCATATGATAAGGCATTTAACGTAATAAGTGACATACTCATATATATATACTTGAAAACACATTATGATGTATTGTAAAGTTAATCATCATCAAAAATGACCTTTATGACTTTGTTTTCTCTCTCTAAACAACTCCGTTATTTATTCTTCCATATTTTTGTCCTACAAGGTCAAAAAATGATAATGAACTATTTATAGGTACTTAGTCTTGAGATTTATTTCACCACAAGTGTTCTTATACTGTTAAACAATTGACAAAATGGTGCTTCTATATATTTCATGGCTGCTATAAAAGTTTGTGAAAATCGCTAACCTATCTCATTATAAACTATTGCTCTCTTCACTCAATTTTGTAACGCACGAAAACATTTCGGTCAGCGTTCATGAGTAGAAAAATTCATGTATAATAATGTTATGTTATATTTGATGTATTGCCAGACTTTATCATTGTTTGGTTGGTTATTATTTGTTGGCGATTTTTTTGGAGGAGAGGGGGGGGGGGGGGGCTGTGAAATAAAACAGGCGTGTATGTATCAACAGCAGTGTTCGTTATATGTTTGGTAGGTGTTTTAATATAAAATGTCAATGAATCTTATTTTGAGAAAGAAATGACTTATATAATTAAAATGAAATTGATGGTACAGTAATTGATGTAAAGTATTATTTGAAAGCATCACAAGATGTTATGCATGACATTGATGTATACACCTGAATGAATTCCCTTTTAACTACTATGTATTTTCACTTAGAAAATGTATAACTGAAATAGTTGTGAATATTATTCTGGGTTATCCATCGTGTTGGTGTTATTTTTTTATTTCAATCAGTTACCGTATTCATTTTCAGAAATAGGAAAATATAACATGTCTTGAAATTTATTTCATAATAATAGTCACATTGTATATAAAATTTCATTATATATAAAAATATAATATTATAAGTTATTTACCTTTGTAAGGTCAAAGCTTTTTGTCATTGTAACTATCCTATATTAATTATATCCTGTATGGTTACATATATGTATATAAGTTGTACCGATTAATTAATAACATTTAAATTTAACATGGTTACAAGCGGCGTTGACAATCACCACGTGAGTAATGTACGTAAAGGTTGTAAACAGGACTTATTTGAACTAAAGAAACTTAATGCAGACGACAGGGTCGATGTACAAATACATATTATGTGGCTGCTGCGCGAGCATATCGTTACCAATGTATCATTTTTCACCCTATTTGTATATAATTGGACTTATTAAATGTTTTCACCTTATAATTTTGTAACTCAACAAATACACTAATTCTGATTATGCACGAGATAAAAAAAAGTAATACATGTCAATAAATCAATTTGTTCTTACTTAGGTTCAAGATAGACAAAGATAAAAATACATACAAACACAAAACTCATGGAATTGCCTTAAAGAAAATTTGAAACATTATTAGTTAATAATAGTGGGACATTTGAAACACATTAATACATAAACTGTGGAACATTTATTTATGGAAGAGTTGGGTATGTTTAAACAAAAAGTAGTAAAATAAAATGTAAACTAGAAATGTGTCCTTAGCACCCAGCTTCATTTGCCTACCACGATGACAAATTTAAATACTTATTCATTTTTCATAAAGGTAAAGTGTTAAACTGGTCAGGAAAATCTGTATGGTATGAACATATATTGAATTTATCATAACACAACTTTTATTCTATTGCTTGCAAACAAATAATTTGACAATAACAAAGCACCAATAATTGCCTTGTATTAATGGTATTAATGTATTATGCCTCAGAAATGCTTTTCTAAAATCGTTTAAAATTTTGGTGTCCTGTTATTGTTTCCAAAATGTTACTCATTGGCCAATAACCAGAACCATCTTTTGCTTCTATTGCCTTTTGAAAATTAGTCCAGTTATAGAGATTAAACATGTACGTCTAAATACTTTTTTTACATTTTACTACTTCAATAACAAATAATTTCTCATTCCCCGCTACTTTCTATAAGTGATAAGCATCTAACATGCTCTAAAATTATTAATCAAAACAATATAAAAGTCAAATTTGCACTTTCTAAAAGAAGGAACATTATTCGTTTCTGAGGCATAGTGTTTCTTGAATGTACGACTATGATCTAAAACTTAATCTAAAAGCAAAAGGGATTAGCGTCTAGCTACGGGCACGGTCCCTGCTAAGTTTTAAAAACAAAACCATACTCTTAGACTTGTGATATTGACCTTTGATATAATGACCTCAGATCAATAGAGTTTATGCCCTACCAAACTGCTTGCACTTCATAATTCATTCATCTGAAAAAAGATGTTACATTGCGTGTCACTGTGATCTTGACTTTAAACCTAATATTTCAATATTAAAAAGGGCCAACTTCTAGCCATGGGTAATGTCCCTACGAAAACATAAACAGCGATCTTTTCAGGAAATAGGATAACAGGAATACGTGCGTACAGACGTATGTGCGGACTAACCACCTTATCAGGGTACGCTTTCCATTTTTAAGTGAGGGCGTAAATATAAAACAGCAAAAAGGTACAAATAGCTGACAATAGGGAACCAGCAGCTGGAAATTCTATAAATGGAAATGTTACATATCTATCAAGTCTTTTTGACATCCTCAGCTTTTCAATAACAACTACATAATAAGAAAAATGAAGTTTCGAATCTACATCAGTACATGCAATGTTTATTATACGAAAGAAGAATTAGCTTCATATGAATTGGCAATACCCCCCCCCCCCTCTATATCACATAGAAGCAGTACTTCGACCCAGAACAAAACATACCCCGAATCTAGCTTGCTTTGGATGTTGAAATATTTTGACTATCACAAAGATTTTGAATCAACCCGAGTCTCTTCATGGGTCAAAATGATTTTTTCATGGATGCATGCATCTCAGTGGTCGGCTGTTTTGTTATATTTTTATACATAAGTATCATAATTTAATTTATTTTTGAAAGTAATATATTATTGATTAGAATGATAATTATCAAAATATTATTAATTGTATCTTAACCCATATTGACATGTCCAAAATATGGTTCATCCATAATCCAATATATTTCCACTATTAAATCTAATAGTTTGTTTTTATTTTGATTTGGTTGTACGTCACATCGACACAATAAAGGTCATATGGCGACGTTCCAGCTTTACTGGTGAAGGAATACCCCAGGTGCCCTTCCTTGCATTATTTCAGGTACGAATGGGCACCTGAGTAGAACCACCGACGTTTCGTAAGCTAGCTGGATAGCTTCGTCACATGAAAGAATCCAAAGTTCCTGTCGAGATTCGAACCCACAGCGGCGAGGGGCAAGTGGTTTGAAGTCAACGACCTTTAAACTTATTAGAAAATATCAAAGACAGCACCACGTACAAAATATACACTGATTCTAAAAATTTTATAAGTACTAAAAGTTAATTCATTTCATTTCATAGATCCCTACTGTGACCTTTCATTTGAATAACAATAGATTTAACCACAAACTTTGATATGTGCACTTTTGTTAACAAATATGTTGTGGTGAAATTCTTATTGTATACACTAATCTGATAATTAGAAATGGACAAGTCAGGGATCTATGGATTAGAAATTGAAAGAACTTAAAAAATCTAAGAAACTTAAGAAGAAAGTTTGTTTCCTGAAGTCCTATAGAATAATAAAAAAAAAATCACGTATAAACCATTTCAGAAGGATCTATTACTTTACTTATTTCAGAATGGCCAATGAGATTCCTAGATTACAGTTTGTAATTTTAAGATGACTAATAAAAACTCTACTTATATTCAGTTTTCCCTGTAAATTTTAAAGGAAGTCAAACTGCCAAGCATTCGGCCGAAAAACTACTATAACTACTATGAAGTAGCATGTTATAATATAACAACTTCATAATAAATACAAACATGTTGTCTGCCACATTATGTGTCATCCGAATCTGTGAGGAACATCAGGATAAACAAAGCGTCCATTTTAAAACAGGATATTCTGGGCAGTGCACAGTGTTCCCGGATATAGGTTGAAGCAACTCTAACATTTATTATCACATATTAATCCAGGGGATTTTGTTATCAATGTCGACAGTGTTTATCTTAAATTTTCATCATTTATAGCGTTACTGGCTGTAAGAAGTGTTTTCGCGGCAGTAAATTTTGCCATGAAAAATGTGTGGAGGATTTGAATTTTGTGATAAATATTAAATATTTTAGAAGAAAATAGGAAATAAATTTGGGTGCACTTATGAAATGTGTGCAGTTAACCGGTTCAAATGACATAAATTATAGAGAACTGCATATCTGTGCACAAATTGTTGGCATGCATTCTTTGGTTGATAAACTAATTGATAAATATATTTACATAATATGGCTGTAAAGGCGCATGCAACTATTATAATAATGTTATCTTAAGCCTATGCAGGCTATAAAATATCGGCAAGTGCATTTAATTAGAGATGTTATATGTTATATGATTTCCTTGAGATACGGCACAAAATATGAGCAATATATTGAAACGCTTGTAATATCTTACAAGAACAACGCCAAGTAACATGTAAGTAACATCAATGTTACACATGACAGCTGTAACCGTCACGTCCCATATTTATATATGTTCTGAAAACAATTGTAAAAATTAAGTACAAAATGTTCATTTCTCTCCCCATTCGCGTAACATGTGTAACGGTCATGCAATCTCCCGGACATATTGCTTGTGTTAGGGCTTTGGTACAAAAACGAATCTGCAACGGTGTTTTAACGGTATTTTTAAGAATATGGTGTTTTTAAGAAAATCTATGCACTTTAGATACAAAAAGAACAAATACGGGGTCTAAACAAACGGCCATGCCACGCGGAAATCTCCCGGATATTTTGCCTAGGTGATTGCTTTGGGCTCATATTGTGTAACGTAGACCTTCCAAACTAATGGAAAAACGAACCTGCAATGGAATCAGCCGAATGGTCTTTTAACAGTTGGCTCTTAAAAATTGTCTTTTTTTTGTACGAAATTTTTGGAAAAAGTGACCATCATACGCAAGACTCTTGCTTGCTATCAATTTCATTGCGTTTGCGCTTTGAGCAAGAAGATCCTCTAAACTAATACAATCTTCTTGATCATTACTTTTTAAGTACGTAGCGTACCTTGTACAATGGCTAACTGTGCATGCCATCAATTTTTCCTGTAAGGACTGCTGTAAAGCGCGTTTATTGCCAAACACCACTTAAAACATTTCTACAAAGTTGTTAGACCACTGAATCGTAAATAATGTAAATTTTAATTTGAGGAGGGTTTTGCCTCCATAATGCTGCTTCCGAAAATTCAGTCGATCTACGGTTGAAGAGAAAAAAGCAAATTGCCGGTCCAAAACAAAAAAAAACTACGCGGAAATCTCCTGGACATATTGCTTGGGTAACGGCTTTGGACCTTATATTGTGTAACGAAGACCCTCCAAACTAGTACAAACACGAATCGGCAACAAAATCAGACAAATCTTACTCTTATGGTTGGCTCGGAAATATGGTGTTTATTACAAAAATCTATATTTTTTATATACAGAAAGAACAAATAGTCTGTATAAAAAACGACCATGCCACGCGGAAATCTCCCGAACACTTTGCTTTGGTTAGGGGTTTGGGGGCTTAATTTTTGTAACGAAGACCCTTTAAACTAGGACGAAACTGAAACTATAACGGCATCAGTCAAATGGGTTTTAACGGTTGATTCGAGAAAATGTTTTTTTCCCGAAAATTTATAGACTTTATATGTAGAAAGAACAAATCGCCGGGCAAAAAAAAACAAAACAACGACCATGTAATGCGGAAATCACCCGTACATATTGCTTAGGTTAGGGCTTTGATATTCATATTGTGTAAAGACACTCAAAACTAGTACAAAAACGATAAGTATAAGAGCCAACGCCCTAAAATTTTTAGCAATCAACCGGAATTAGTATGGTTACATAGATTTTACAAGGATGTTACATATTTGTTACAAGGTTTTACAAATGTTACGAGAGTTTAGAGTGAAATGAAAATTTTATATATAATCGTTTCAAGTGTTACAGATTGTTACAGGGTTGTTACATAGTACTTACTGCATTGTTGCTTTAGTTACAT